ATCCAAGGGTCAGCAGCAGCAATCAGGAACGGGCCTTAGGCTATGCAACTAGATGCCGTTACCATGCCCAGCAGCCTGCCAGGGCCCTGGTCAGTGTGGCAGGATCTGAGAAGGGCTGACATGGCTGTGCCCAGGGAGTGTGGGGGTGTGACCGCCTGCCTCCTTTCCCCACTCAGGAGGTACTCTGGGCAGAAGAGTCTGAGCCCAAAGTTCCCCCAGCTGCTGTGGTCAGCTCACCTGGCTTCCTGGTCCACCAGTCAGCCAGCAGGCTCCCCCAACCCCTGGCTGCAGACCCACAGGGCTCCATCTCTCGGGCACATGTGGTTTCTGCTTAGCAAGTCCCAGGAGGAACTGCCCGCCTGGCCGACAGCACTGAGAGTGTATGCCACTCTCCCAGCCCGGCTGGTACTCCTGGGAGTCAGCCCCCCAGAGATGTCCTTGAGCAGGGCAGATTCCAGGTAGATGGAAGTCCCCGTGGTGGGGAGGGGCAAGGCCTTTTATCCCTACACAGCTGAGTCTGCAGGGGCCTTCATGGGCTGCAGTTGCCTGGGCATGTGCCCTGAAAGCAGAGCCCAGGACACAGCCGAGGCTGCCACCAAGACCTGGTAGACCCTTGAGCACCATGAGCAAAGGGGTCCAGCGGGCCGCAGCCAGGGACAGGGGCAGTGCCAGCGCTGGGGCTGAGCCTGCTTGGCCTCCTCCCCGCTCGGGCCCCTTGACAGCCCTTGTTGACACCACTGTCCTGACCTGTACAGCCCTGCTGCCTCAAGCTGCCCGACCCCGTCCCCACCCTTCATCTGCTCACCAACATGGTCCCCAGCACCTCTGTGGTGGGTGACAGTCAGGGCTGGGCACGGGGCACGGGGCCAAGGCAAAATGCAGGGGCAGTGAGGTGAACACCAGGCACTTGGGTTCAGGCCTGCACTCTACCCCCCTTGCTGAGTGGGGAGATAGCAAGAGGCCACTCTTTGTGCCTGGCCAGGCTAGACATGGCATGCAGGTCAGCGCTGGCACCAGGCCACAGGGTGTGCCAAGAGGCTCCCTCAGGGGACCAGGGCCTCTGTCAGAGGCCTCACCAAGAAGTGCAATGGGGACCAGCCGGCAAGGGAGGAGAGTCAGGGGTCAGTCACTGACCCCTTCGTGGCTGATTCTAGGGGCAGTAGGACTGGGGGTCCTCCAGGGCCTTACAGGACACAGAGCATGGCAGGCAGGCACTGGGCCCCCAGGGAAGGGCCGGGGGACCACCATGGCAGGATGCGTGCCACACAGGCACTGGGCCCCCAGGGAAGGGCCGGGGACCACCATGGCAGGGTGCGTGCCACACAGGCACTGGGCCCCCAGGGAAGGGCCAGGGGACCAGCGGGACCTTGCAGGGCAGGGTGCATGCCACACAGGCACTGGGCCCCCAGGGAAGGGCCGGGGGACCAGCGGGACCTTGCAGGGCAGGGTGCATGTTGGGCAGACACTTACCCCCCGGGGAAAGGCTGCCCTTACACCAGTGAGGAGTTCATTCATTGCTTGCCTGGTCTCCGCAGCCCCTGCAGGTTAGTGACCCCGGTGTGGGACGCTGGGCAGGAGCAGCACTGATGTGTGGTTAATGGGGGACCCACCACACAGATAACCCGTGCTGTCTGAGGGGTCCGAGGCTAAGGCAGGGCCCAGAATATGGGAAGCATGGGGAGACAGCAGAGGGCCTGCTCACGGCAAGCTGCGGGGTGCGGGCTGGAGGCAGCCAGTGGGAGATAGGCCTTGCTTTGCTTCCATGATAATGTGGATAGAAGACAAGGCATGGCAGTTCCAGCTCCCCTTTCCCGGCCCCATGCCTGGAAATGGGCTTATCCGCGACCCCTGGCCTGGTCACTGCAGCCAGAGCCTGTCCCCAGGGCTCAGCAGTGAGAGAAGGTCAGCAGCCTTTGCTGAACCCACACAGTGCTGCTGCTATGTTTGAAAACTGAAGAGAGTGGCCAGGCTCACACAGCCAGCCGTGTAGCCCTGTCTCTGTCACCTACATGCTATAAGACTGGCCTTCAGTAGCCTGGCCCTGGCTGAGGGCAGTGCCAGCATGCAGTACCCGCCTCAGGCATTCCCATCCCTTGGCACTGAGTCCTGCAGGTGTGCCAGCCACCCTAAAAGTCCCAACCTAGTGCAGGAACTCCCCCAGGACCCAAGTCGGAACTTCCCTCTTTGGAGCCCCAGCTATCCCAGGCTGGTCTTGCTCCCCCTGGCCCCGCAGAAGTGTTGCCACAGCTCCCCTGCCACAGGCTGCCTGCTCTGCTGCCCCTCTGTGGTCAGCAGAGGATGCCCACCTCAGCCACCGGCCACCTGGGTTCAGACACTGGCCCCTCCTGAGCTGCCTCTGACCCAGACGCACGGTGCAGAGTGTCCTGAGGACGCCCCACCTGTAGTTAACACTGCCCACGCGCATCACTGTGCCCCCAGAGGGCCGCTAGGAGGCCTGGGTGGCTCTAGGGGCTGTCCAGGGTAGAAGAGTCAGGAGGATCCACAGCTCCCGCAGCACACTCTCCCCTTGGACCCTCGGGGCAGACCCCAGGAGGCCTGCCTTCACCCTCCTGTCCTTTGTAGTCACACCGCCCAGCCCTGGGGGCCACACTTGGCCTCAAATGCCTCCAGCCTGCCTGCTCCCTGGCCCCTGGGTTTACCCGGAGGAGGCCCGGGGTCCACCCCTTCCCTCCCCCAGGACTGCCTGGGTGACCTGTGTTGGAGACACCCACTGGGAGAGGACAGGGCTGAGGGTCCGAGGCAGCGGAAGCTGCCTAAGTGGGCCAAGAAGGTGCCCGGGGATGGGGGCCACGCAGTCCCTAGGCTGCTCATGAGAGGGCCTGTCCAGCAGTGCCCAGGAAGTTGCTGCCCCTTGTAAGCCAGCCCAGCATGTGCTTCAGGCTGCGCGGAGCCAGGCGGGGGCTGGAGGCTGTCACACAGTCCACAGCGGCCCGAGCAAGGGCTGACACTGACGGCGCTGCACTAAGGGGACAGCAGGAGCAAGCCCTTGGCCCTGTGAGGGTTCAGCCGGGGTCCTCAGGGGTGCCTGTTGGTGGTCAGCCCCAGGAGCAGGGTGTTACAGGCTGTTGGTGGACACTGCCCTCTCCCCGCCATGGGGTAGTCAGCCTGTAAGACCCTAGGTACCAGCTCCTGGCCAGAGGGGTGGGGGGTCATGAGCTATGAGTGTGAGGGACAAAAATGTGTGGTTCACACCACAGCCACGCATGATGGGTAGGCTACTCAGCACCTCTACCTGAGGGTCAGGGGCTCTGACACCCCGTGTTTGAAGCCTGAAACAAAGACAGAATCGGCAGTGCTGCTGTGGGTTGCCATGCAGGACGGCCCCAGCCCCTTGTTTACCCACCAGGCAGGCCCCTGAGACCCCCTTGGCTCTGGAAGGTTGGATTCAAGTCCCGTGGGGCCTCCCAAGCAGGGCAGGACCTGCAGGCTCCTGGGAACCCGTTAGGCCGGCTGCGTTTCCAGAGATGCAGCCCGTGTCTGCATGCCCCCTGCTTCCCCCACAGAGGATCCCCCTTCCCCCGGGCCTGAGCCGTAATGACCCGCACCTGGAGAACAGGTGCGCTTTCTGGGGCTGTCCACAGGCAAGGCTGAAAAGGCCCTAGTGGGAGACTGGGGGAGGGGACGGTCCACTCGCCCTCCGCTCTGGGGTGGGGAGGCCTGGTTCCCCCACCCCCGTCTGTTGTGTCCCAGGACCCTGGGCCAGGGACTTTTCAGCTGGGAGTTTGTCTCCACCCCAGGTGTGGGTGCTGTGGGTGGCTGGGACACTGATTGATAGCTGGGATAAGTTTCCTTGCTCCAGTCCATGTCCCACGGAGAGATGAGTGGCCTGTCCCAGCTCAGGGAGGGGCTCGGTCTCTTCTCTGCGTGGGGGGCCCCAGGGCGGTCCCTGGTAGAGGTGCCTGTGAACAGGGCTTGGGGGAACAAAGAGACTGCCAGCACACTGCACCGCAGGGAGGAGCAGGGCGCCAGACAGCTCCCCGCTGGACATAGGGTTTGTGTGGAGACCCTGAGTGGCCAGCAAGTGTCAGAGTCAAGGTGCCCACAGCTCATCCTTTGCCGGCCTAGCCACAAGCAGGAGTGTACGTGCAGCCCTGTGGGCGCACAGGGCACACCCCCAGAAGGCTGAGCCTACTCCTGCCCTGCACGGGCCAAGGTGAAGTTCCAAGGACAGTCCCAAGCTAGCAGCGGGGACTCCTGGCAACCGAGGCTTTCTGTCCGTGTGTTCGTCCCCAGAGTGATCCAAAGAGGACAGTCCCTGGCCAAGAGAGCCGGCCCCTGGGGAAGCAGGCGCAGCAGGCCGGGGACAGTGGACCTAGTCCCCGTGGGACCTCCTCTGCCCGGCAGCAAGGAACAGCACGTGCTTAGGCGCCACAGCTACAGGAGAAACGGCTGCCAGGTGCTGGGAGGACACCCAGATGGCCACGTTCTGAGGCCTGCAAAAGGGGCTCCTCCAAAACGTGTGCCGCGCCAACTGCCCCCCCCCCAACCGCCCGGCCCCTTCTCCAGGCCTGGGGAGCATCACTCTCACCACGCAGTGTCTGGGGTGACCCCTGTTAGGCCTCCAGCCACTCCAGCCCCTTTGATTTCTGCCAAGGGGGTGGAGAACAGCCCCAGACAGGCTTCAAGTGGACACAAACCAGCTGCCTCGGCTTCCTGCTCAGTGAGAACAGATGTTGGCCCGAAAGCCTCATCAAGCTGATGGATGGGGCGCAGGCCCAAGCACCTCCCATCCACCCAGGCCTCCCGGGCCTGGGCCAGGGCAGAGGTATAGCAGTCGGGCCCTGGGCAGCTGAGCAGCGGCCAGGCCCTGTTCCATGCTTGTCACAGGAGTGACTGGGGGAAGTGAAGAGGCCTCCATATTTTAGGCCTTGCCCTGGGCGGCCTCACAGATGTGGAGCCAGCAGCCCGAACCCAGGGGATGGGGTGGCGACGGCCACGGCACCAGGAGACCGAGCCCCTCCATGTCTTTCTCTCCCCAGAGACGTGTGCAGTTAACAACGGAGGCTGCGACCGGACATGCAAGGATACGGCCACCGGTGTGCGGTGTAGCTGCCCGGTCGGATTCACACTTCAGCCAGATGGGAAGACATGCAAAGGTCAGCTCAGCCCTGGAGCCCCGGGTGCCAGGTCCCTGCAGGGGACAGTCACAGCCCGTGGCTGAGGGGAGGCCAGGGAGCCCCAGCAGCGGCCTTGGGGCTGGCAAGACGCAGTTTTAAGTGTGTGATTGTCCACTGGGGTCAGCTGCTCGGCAGGACTTCTGGGGCCTTGGGTGACACAGGCTCGCCAAGGCAGGCGGAGCTGGGCTGATCTCCTCAGCTGAGGCTGCCCTTGGAGGGCTGCGGGGGGCCCTTGGCGGGGCGTGGGGGTGGGGCTCCTCAGAAGCAGCAGCAGAAGTGTGTGAGGGGAAGGACAGGCCAGGGGACTGGCACAGAGAGGAAGGCGAAGTTTGTCATCTTCCCACATGGAAGACAGTGTGACAGAGACCCTCAGCGAGGAGGCGGCTGACTCAGGGCCAGGCAGAGGGGCCGGGTTGGGGATCCCCCAAGGAGCCCAGGCCCCAGGGACACAAACACCAAAGCCCCCTGCGGCATGGGTGTAAGGCGCGGCCCCTCGGCGCTGCACCCCCCGGCCCTGGCTCCTCTCCCCTCCCCCCTCAGGAAGCGCACTGGGCCGCCAGGGACAGGGCTGGAAGGGGCCAGGGGAGCTTCCAGAACCTGGCCAGAGGAGTGTTCCAAGTGCAGCTTTCTGGTGACTTCAGGTAGTCCCAGGTGGACTTGTTCCTCGCCGGCTCGCTGGGAAGGATCTGCAATTATTGACAGAAATACCCATTCTTCCGCCCATTTATTTGAAAATAAGGCTCTTCTGTAGCCAGTGCTCAGCCGGTTAATAGCCCGGGTGCCTCCCTGCCAGGCAGACGGGCAGGTGGCATCTAAGTCTCCACCACAGGCACTTGGGGCCAAGGGCACCCAGCGGAGCCAGGGAGGTGGGCCTGGCATGCCCTCAGCCCAGTGAAGTCACGGCAGGCCAACTGCTTGCCCAGTGCCCTGGGCCAGGAGAGTGTGGCCCTGGCCATGCCACCTCCCTTCCTCCGAGGTGCCCGCCTGATCCAGGGCCAGAAGGACAGGGCCGAGCTGAATTCCTGAGGGGAGGCCAGGGCGCCAGGAACAAGGAGCTGGAAGCCAGGAGCTCACCGCTGGGTGCCAAGCTGTCTGGGCCGGAAAAAGACTGGGTAGGCATGCTGCCCAGCAGAAGCAGCCGAGGGGGCACCTCCCACTGCCCCTGCCCCACCCCTCGGTCACCCAGGGGACACTCACACACCGTGTGCTATCCCCAGGATGACAAGGCACTGAGGGGGGCTCTCCCTGGGCCCCTAACCCCGCTAGCCCTGGGCACCCATAGCTGTTACTGAAATAACAGGGCCTTTGGCCAAGCCTGCTCCTACCCAGCTGCTGGACGCAGAACCCTGGGCCTGCTGAGGGTCTCACTGCCACTGGGCAGCACGAAGCAGGTGGATTTTCCAAGCCCTTGTGGTATGCAGGTACGGGGGTGGGGGGGCATGAATAATAGAGACCCTCCCAGTCCCCAGAAGAGAGCCTTGGATCTTTTTAAGTTACGAGAGGCAGCATGGACAGCCTCGTGTTGGCTGAAGTACAGCATGGCAGGAGGGCCAGGGCTGGACCTGCCCTGGGCTGCAGCCATGGGCAGAGGCATGAGTCAGGCCAGGACAGGGCCTGGCAGCATCTCCAGCTGGGGCCAGACAGAGGGCTGGCCAGCTCTCATGGGCACCAGGCAGAGGAGGGGCAGGAAACTGCTCTGGGCCACAGCCTGGGCAGCATTGAGGTGGCCGCTGTAGTTACCTGGCTCTGGGTGCCAGTGCAGGGGCAAGCGTGGCAGCCGTCAAAAGTGAGGGTTGAGGGGCTGGCCCACAGGTGCGGAAACAGGTGGCCTCCAGGCTACTTCAGGGTCACCTGACTCCCAGCTGGAGTGTGGCCAGGACGAGCCCATCAGGGGATTCCCAGCCCCTGGGGTCCGGGCTCCACTGTCAGAGGGTACACCCTGAACTTGGCAGGGGTCCAGCAGAGATATCAAAGGGAATGATTTCAAAGGTTCCATGTTTCTCTGGCCACCAAAGAAGTCATTGTCGAGCAGACAGACGGTAGCGGGGAGATGGCTTGGAAAACCCAGGGCCCAAAGCCCAGGGCAGGTGGAATGACAAGGGCAGGTGGGAAGGTGATGTGTTCCACCCAGGTGCCAAGGATGCGAGCAGCCTGGAAGGCGCACCCCAACCCAACTGGGCAAGGGTCCTGGCTCGAGGTGTCCTGGCCCGAGCGAATATCAGAGGAGGCCCCTTGCTGGCTGACCCCTCCAGGATCCCAGCCCCCTTGCTGGCTGACCCCTCCAGGATCTCAGCCTCCTGCAGAGGAAGGAGCCGGAATTTCCCTTGGAGAAAACTGCTCAGAACCGACTGGGAGACCCCCCACACCCATTGCTTCCTCTCCTCCCTCCTCAGGCCAGGCAGGGTCCGCGGGAGAAGGGAGGAGCCCACAGCTGCCTCCACCAGGCCTGCCCAGCCCCTTACCCTCTCTGCCAGGCTCAGCAGGGTGAGCAGAAAAGGACAGCACCCACTGGCCTTTGCTGCAGCTCCCCCCGTGCCCCTGCTGCAGGGTCCTTTGCTGCAGCTCCCCCCGTGCCCCTGCTGCAGGGTCCTTTGCTGCAGCTCCCCCGTGCCCCTGCTGCAGGGTCCTTTGCTGCAGCTCCCCCCGTGCCCCTGCTGCAGGGTCCTTTGCTGCAGCTCACCCCGTGCCCCTGCACCCCTTGTACCCACTCACACCTGCAGCATTGGGAGTGCCCCCAGAGCTTCCGCTCTACAGCTCTGGCCATGGTCTGGGGTCACCTGATGTCTGTATTCACCTGGGAAACCCTCCTAGGCCATTGCCCCCCTGGGCCCTAGGGCACCAGGCAGGTCCTGCTCTGTGGCCAAGGGCAGCACTGTGACAAGGAGCATCCCAGAGGGTAGTCCTCCCAGTGCCAAGGGGGTGACTAAGTCCAGGCTGCCAGGCCAGGAGCTGAGCCCCCAGGAGGCCAGGCAACCGGGGTCCCGCCTCGAGCCCCTGCAAGGAGCTGGGCCTTCTCCAGGAGGACATGGCCATCTACGGGGCAGGGTGTCGCCAGCAGCCTGGTGCTGGGAGTTGGCAGCCAGCATGGGGGAGCAAGGGGCCAGGAGCCCAGCCCCCGCTGTATCCTGACCTGGAGCTGGAGGCTGACCCCCAGGCCACCGGCTAGCCCAGCCTGGGCCCAAGCAAACATACCACCTCCATGTGTCTGGTTGCCGTGGCAGCCCCATGGCTGACTGGTGGGGAAGGGGCAGGGCTGGAGGTTCTGGAAGGCCTGAGACGCTGCTGAGCAGGCCGGTGGCGTACCAACAACCCTTTCATCTTAGAAGTCGGGCTGTAAGAGGCAGTGGCACCCATAAGCGCCCGCGGCTGCAGCCCCGAGAGGCACCCGCCTTGGCCGACTGTCACACAGCTGAGCCACCACGGCCTCTGCCCAAGGCTGCTGCCCACAGACTTTGTTCTTCCTGTGACCTAGGGGTCAGAGGGGAGGGGCACGGTGCAGTCTCCAGCTGGCGCCCCAGCTGAGGGTCACCCTGCAGACACAGCTGGCCAAGGTCCTCTCCAATGTGGGGCTTATCTGCTATGGGCAACTGACGGGTTCTGGGGGCTTCCTGGGACGTGGCCAGGAAGTACTCAGCAGGGACCCAGGAGGCCCATGTGAGACCCCAGCCCCACCCTCTGATCCACCCACCCCCACTGCCTCCATACAGTCACCTAGTGTCACTCTGTCGCTAGTGAGCACCCAGGGAGCACAGACAGTCGGTCATGCACCAGGTGCCTGTCCAGCCTGCGTGGTTTGGTTTGTTGAGGGACTTCGTAAAGGGCAGACCGCTGCAGTGCTATAACCCCTCTGTTCAGAGGTCACTGCCCACCCTCAGCACGGGGTCCTGCGCCCCGGCCCTGCGCCCACCCTCAGTATGGGGTCCCGCGCCCCCGGCCCTGCACCCACCCTCAGTATGGGGTCCCGCACCCCTGGCCCTGCATCCACCCTCAGCACGGCCTCCAGTGCTCAGCACAACAGCAGCTGCCTGCCCCAGCACCCTGCTGAGCCCAGGCCACAGCCAGTGGGGAGAGTTCAGTCTGTTTTCCTTGCTGGAGTGCCTCCTCCCTTCCCTTCTTTTTCCTCCACCAAATCAGGGTGAGCCCACCAGCCTGAGGCTCACCTCTCACTGTTGCCCCACACGGGCTTGTGTCTGGAAGGATGGCTGGTGTGGGAGCCTGGGAGCCCCAGAAGAACTGATGATGGGAGGAGGGACTGTGACTGGGCTGGGTCTCTCAAGAAGAGCTCCCTGGGGGTCGCACAGAACGCCAAGCCAAGGGGGGTCACAGCTGTGCTCCAGCCAGGCTGGGGGAGACTGCTCCCTGCCACCCCGGGGTGTGCCTAGAGGTGCTCAGGGACCCATGGGATTGAATGAGGAGTGTTATGGCCAGCTGACCATCACAGCTAGCTGCCGCTGGACTGCTAAGTGAAGGAGCTGCAGACAGGCAGGCAGGAGCTGGCGCATGGCCATGACTGGGGCCTGGGACAGCCCCACGCCCCACCCAGCAGCTGGTACCTCCTGGTGCCTCCTGAGCCTCCCCAGCCCCGCTCTGTGTGCCAGCCCCCTGCCGCTGTGTTCTATGGGGGGTCCTGAGGTCAGCCCTGGGCAGGCGAGGCAGGAGTGGGGTCGTCACCAATGTGTCACTTCCTCGGCCCTGTCTCTCGCTCCCACAGACATCAACGAGTGCCTGGCTAACAACGGGGGCTGCGACCACTTCTGCAGGAACACCGTGGGCAGCTTCGAGTGCGGCTGCCGCAAGGGCTACAAGCTGCTGACGGACGAGCGGACGTGCCAGGGTGAGCCTCTTCCAGGGCCCACACCTCTAACCCTTTCAGCATCGGGCACGTCCCAGGCTGGCCCCTCGGCCATGCTGGGTCCCAGGTCCCAGTCCTCGGTGTGTGCCCCTGGCCACCCTGCCTGCCTTAGCCTGCTGGCTGCCTCGTAGCCCTGGGGCTTCCTCCAGGCTGTGGGCTGGGATGCTGCCATCTAGTGGATGACATTGCATATTGCAAATATTGTCCAGGCCCTGGGACTCTGCACTTGGGTGTCTCGGCTGACTTTGTCCAACTCTGCCAAGGGCTGAGGGTTACCCTCGCCCGGGCCACATCTCCCTCGGCCCGACCTGTGTCCACTTACAGGCTCACCCAGGAGCTGGGCCATGGCTCCTGTCCTCGAGAATTCCAGCTCCTTTGCTTGGTACTCGGGAGCCCCCTGAAGCCCCATACTGCCACCTGCCAGCCTTTGCTTGGGTCGCCCTTCCTGCTGGCACTTTCCCTTCAGCCCAGGGGTAGCCCAGGTGCAGCAAATGCCTAGTGGTCTCCCAGGCCGCCCCAAGGCCACATTCCCCTACACCCGAGCACCCACGGCGCCGCCCCTTCCATGGGGCTTCTTGATGAGCGTGTGTGCTGTGTGTGTGATGCCACAGGACTGTCACGTCCGGGGGCGGACTCGAAGCTATTATGCCTCATGTTGGGCCCAGGGCTGCCTTGGCCCCATTGGTTGTCTCACAGAAGCCAATGTCCTCAGAATTTATGCCCAGAGCAGAATTGTCTCCTGGGAGCTGTGGCTCGCTTCCTCCTGTCCCACCCCACACCTTCTGGGACCCTTGTTTCCTGCTGACCTCGGTGACCTGGTGGTTGAAGGTCAGGAATTATAGACTGTCACCCTCTCTAGCTGACGGTCATGGCAACGGGCCTGGTCGTCAGCACATCCTCGTGGGGGGCATGTTCTCGTCACCGCCTTCCTGTTTGTGCCAGTCTCCTGGTTTTTGAATCAGTTGGAGTGGTAGGCTGCAGCGGGCAGCCTCTGCGAGAGGCCTGCTCCCACATCCCAGTTTAGTAGCCTCCTCAAGGCCTCAGGCCAGTCCTCGGGGGAGGGGGACCCACAGGTGTGGCTTAATTACAGCTGGGGGTGACCCGCCTGTTCTATTCAGAATATCCACCTGCCAGAACCCAGGGTCACCGGACACGCCTGGAGGATGAGGCGGTGCTGGGCAGCCCTGCGGCCCTGCAGGCTGGCTCCACAGCAAGCATCATTTCTGGGGCCAAGGGGCTGCACGCAAGCCCAGCCCTGAGACTCCTCCCCCTCTGCAGACATTGATGAGTGCTCCTTCGAGAGGACCTGCGACCACGTGTGCGTCAACTCTCCAGGCGGGTTCCAGTGCCTGTGCCACAGCGGCTACGCGCTCTATGCAACAGCCCACTGCGGAGGTCTGCAGCTCGCCCCCGAGGCACGCGCCTGGCCACACGGCACCCCACACCCCAGTGCTGCCGCTGACCTGGTGGGCCTGGGAGGGGCCTCGGCAAGGCTGGACACTGACAGGCAGCAGAGGGGTCAGCCCGGGAGGAGGGGCAGCAAGTGTGGGCAAGCAGTGGGGCCTAGACACTCCTTTATGGGGTATGCTTGTGCAGCAGGGCCAGGGAGGGTAGGGGGCGGACAGTGGCTAGGGCAGGGCAGGGTGTCAAACGGGGAGCAGGACACCTCAGGGGGCTGCGCAGGCCCAGACTGGGGAAGCGATGCAGAGGGCTTCGCCTTTGCCAAGAGCACAGGGAACGCCTGGGGGCAGCGCATGCTGGAGCCTAGGGTGCAGGGAAGGGCCTGCCAGGGGTGCAAGCGGCGACCCGACTGGCTGGTGTGGAGCTTCCTGAGTCCCAAGGGGCCGCAAGAGGTTACTCCAGGTGTGCTGAGGAACGCCTGCGGCTCTGGCTGTCGTGTGGGAAGGAGAGTGGTGTCCAGGCATCTGGGGTGGGGGGCTACTCGTGCAGGGGCTGACGCAGCATCACTGATGAGCAGAGCTGAGCTGAGCCTTGGGGGACAGTGGGGATGGGGCAGCTATACTCGGGCCTGCCTGCTGCTGGGGGTGGCAGCAGGAGTGGGCTGTGGCATGTCAGACCCCGGCACCACTTCTACCGGTCCGTGGGCAGCCTGGGGGCTTGCCTAGCAAGAGGTCCCAGTCCTGCCACACCCTCTGCCACAGGACGAGAATGGGGGCTCCTGCAGAGTCTCCCCATGAGCTGAGGCCCCACAATCCCAGGGGAGGGAAGTGAGCTGTGTCTATGAGGAGCCTCGGCCCATGTGTGTGCACACGTGTGTGTACGTGGGAGTGGGCATGGCAGAGGTCTGCACTGCCTGCTGGAGTCAGGAGCGTCCTGGCCATCCATCCCAGGCAACCCCAGCCCTCCAGCACCCCGAAGGCACGCCCCTCACTCTCCCCCTCCCCCCGGGCTTCCAGATGTTGACGAGTGCAGCATGGACAACGGGGGCTGCGATGAGGGCTGTGTCAACACCAAGGGCAGCTACGAGTGTGTCTGCCCACCAGGGAAGCGGCTCCACTGGAACAGGAAGGATTGCCTGGGTGAGTGGGAGAGGGGGGCTCCTCCGCTCTGAATGCTGGAGCCCCTGACACACAGATGATGGGAACCCTGGTGTCTGCGTGCAGCCAGGGCCACCGGGCACGCTGCCTCTGCCGGTATCTCAAGCCGGAAGCTGGGGGCAGGGAAGGGGTATGAGCCTTACCCGGCACCCTGGCCTGGCCTGCTGAGGAAGCAGCGGCTGTGCAGAGGGGTAACTCGTGTCCTTGCAGACTTCACCCTCAGGGAAATCACAGTGGGGTTCCAGCCTCTGCGGGGGGGCTCCAGGCATTGTAGGTACCTCCAAGCTGGATGAGGCCCAAAGCCCCTGGCAGCAGCAGTGCCCACCAATCCACCCCCCATCATGTGTGGGCCCCATGCTGGGCACTGCAGTCCCTTGCCTGTCCTTCTGGCAGCCAGCCTGAACCTCCAGTGACTCCATGGGTCCCTCAGAAGCACAGCCATGTTCTCTGAGTGGACCAAGGCTGCGGCCTGGCAGCCTGCCGGCTCCCTGGCTCACAGGGCTCTCCCCAGCCCTGCTGTTCCCCTGACTGCCTCCCCGCCCCACACCTCATCCCCACGCCCCTCCTGACTTTCTCTGGCTGCCTGGCCCTTGGAGCCAGCATTTTCGTGTCGGTGTGCCTGTCTGCCTCCCTCCCTGGGACACATACCCTCGGCGCTGTCACACAGGTCCCTGCTGTGTCTCCAACACACGGAGCCAGGCAGACAGTCGCTCAGTACTGACTGTGTGGCTGAACAAGGGAGTCGCTCCCTTCCAAGCGCAGGCCACAGGGTCCCGTGGGGAGTGTGAGGAACGCCGTGCTGCTGAGGCAGTCGCTGCACCAGCTGCTGTTCTGGAGGGCTGTGTGGGGTGCAGGGTGGGGCCTGGTATCATCGGGCTCATGGCTGTGTGCAGCTCATTCCTGCTTGAGAAGTAAGTGACTGGGGTGCACTGGTTCCCAGGCTGGCCAAGGCTGTTGGGTACCGTGAAACGGGCTCTCCGAGGCATGCCCCCACAGTGGCCACCCTGGCTGAGCGTCAGGGCTGTGCTGGTTATGGCTTTTGCTACGATGGGGACTGGGCTGTGTGCAGGCACTGCTGTGTGTTGTCCCCACTCAGGACTATAGGAGCAGCCACGGGGCTTGTCCAGGCCACGCTGCTGTCCCCGGGGCTCCACAAGAAGTTGTCTGTGGAAGTCTAAGCCCTGGGTCATCCAGCAGTCAACACGATTTGATCCCAATTTTGTTGTTTATTTATCTGAAAAGCACAGCGACAGAGAAACAGCTTTCATCCACTGGTTCACTCCCCAAGTGTCTACAGTAGCCAGGACTGGAGCAAGCCAGAGCTAGGAGCTCTACCGAGGTCACCCACAGGGGCGACAGGGGCCATCGCCGGCTGCCTCCCAGGGTGCCCGTGACTGGAAGCTGTGCAGAAGTGAACCTGGGACTCGAACCAGGCACTCCAATGCCTGATGCAGCAGCAGAACTTGCTCACCACAAGCCCCACCTTCCTGCTCCTATCTCTGTCTCCGAGTCACCTGCTAGGCCCGTGACTATGTAAAACCCTGTATGATTCTGGACAGCAGAAGACCAGCTCAGACCGCTGGAGGGCCTGGCACAGCCCATCACTGGGCGGCTGAGGGAGGCTGCCACAGGTTTGTCCCAGCAGCCGGCTGACCCACAAGCCACCTGTCAGTCAGCCCTGATGGGTGCCATGGAGCTACCAGCCTTTCCCAGGAGGCTGTGCAGCAAAAGCTGTGTCTGGGACACCTGCAGCAGGTGGAGGTGCCCACCTGCCCACCCAGGAGTCCATCACCAGCAGTCATGCCTCTCCCAGGTGGGCGCCACACCTGCTCTTGGGGCAAACCCTCACAGACAGCTGGGACTTCTTTGGGAAGCGACTAGAGCCAGCCCCCGACAGGCTGACACACCCTGACACCCTGCCGTCCCTAGGTCACTTCCCACCAAGCTGATCTGGACACAACACGGAGGGCAGCCCGCACTTCGGGGCCCTGCCAGCCTCGGGGGACACGCTGGCTCCTCTCAGGCCCTTCTCTTCCTTCTCCCCTAGAGACGGGCAAGTGCCTCTCCCGGGCCCAGAGCACGCAGGCCCAGCTGTCATGCAGCAAAGCGGGAGGTGTAGAACGCTGCCTTCTCTCCTGCCCAGCCCACAGCCTCTTCTTGCCAGGTAACCCCAGGAACCCCTCCTCCCTGGCTGGGGTCCAGCTCCAGTTCCCCCCAGGATGACGGGCTCCGGTAGGTCCCAGTCCTTCCCCATGCTAGCGCACTGAGGCCCCAAGAATCGGCAGCAGTGGGGGTGTGCCTCGGGAGAGGAGGTGGGCAGAGTGCACAATCCACTTCTCTGTCCTCCCCACAGACTCGGAAAACAGCTACGTGCTAGGCTGCGGCAGTCCAGGCCTGCAGGGCAAGGCCCCACCGAGACGCAACGGCACCAGCCCTGGCCCCGGGCCAGGCTGCTCAGGTGGGCCCTGTGTCCTCCGCCATGCTGCCCCTTGCTGCTGCCCCATACTGCAGACAGGAGCCAGCCCTCTCCCTGTCCACAGAAGACCCTTGGCTGCATGGTCCCAGCCCAGGGTGTGACCCCACCACCCACACAGGCGCCTTTTACAAGCTTAGCAGGGAGAGGGGGAAATGAGACAGTGCAGATTGCCTACTCAGGGGCACAGGTCCTGGGCAGCCCTGTCCCCCACCATCTCCTTGCCCACTGGAGAGACCACCAGCCATGGGCGCTTTGGCTTTCCGCAGACACCCCTGGCACTCCCATCAAGCAGAAGGCCCGCTTCAAGATCAGAGACGCCAAGTGCCACCTGAAACCTCGCAGCCAGGACCCCACCAGGGCGACATCACAGCAGCTGCTGCTGGGTGAGAGGGGCTGCCCTGTCCCTGTACTCTGAGTCACAGTGGGAGCTGTCTCCTGGGAAGCCAGCTTCCGAGTGGAAACCCTGGGCCCCCCATGTGGCTGAGGGCTGCTGTCCTCACCCCCACCCAAGCAAGGGCTTTCTTCTTGACCCACTGCCCAGCTCACCCTAAGGCTCTGCCCAGTGGGAGGGTGGCAGAGGGGAGCCATGGAACTTGCCACCCCAACCTGACACAGCCTTCAATGCTCAGCTGCCTCACCCTGCCCTCTCCTGCTCCCCACGGCCCAGGGCTGGGGCAGGGAGGTGTTCGTCCCTGCTGAGTAGGGCAAGGGGTGGGAGAGCCGCCAGGCCAGCTTGCCCATTGGTGTCCCATGCCATGGAGCCCCGTCCCCTGACCACCTTCACCCCAACGCTCCCTTCCTTGTCCAGACAACTGCCATGTGACATCTGTGACCCTCAAATGCGACTCCACCAAGAAGAGGCGCCGGGGCCGCAAGTCCCCCTCCAAGGAGGTGTCCCACATCACGGCCGAATTTGAAGTGGAGGCGAAGCTGGCTGAGGCCTCGGGTGCGTGGGGGCAGTGTGGCTAGGCAGGCTGCAGTAGGGCAGCCCTGGGAACTGCAGGATGTGGAGGCCAACCAGGCAAATAGGATCAACACCTGCTACCAGGAAGGAGAAGGTGGCCCCGGGTTGCCCAGAGGGACAGGGGCAGGGCACAACAGAGACCCACAGTCCCTGCCTCCCCTCAGGGCCTAGGAGGGTGGCTGTGTGGACCCTGCCCTCCTCCCAGAGCCTGTGAGCCCAAGACACACTCTCCCAGGTTCCCCAGGGACCTTGGCCCCAGCCCTCAGACCATGGAACCTGCCCTGAAGACTTTGCAGCCAGCCAGTGCTGGGAGGAGAGCATGGGGATCGTGTGATGGGGATTAAAGAATAAGCAGGGTCCGGAGCTACGATTCCTCCCCAGAGGGATGGCTCCAGTAGAAAGAGCTAGCCCAGATGAGCGCTTGCAGTCCAGGAACAAACCAAAGCGGAAATACATGGCAAGGAGGGCATCCAAGGAGAGGAAATAGGCAAAGGCTCAGAGGCCAGGGACTCACAGCCAGCAGCAGTAAGTCAGGCAGAGCGGCCAGCAGGTAGCATTCACAGGGAGTGTCGGAGTCCCGGGGATGGGGCATGGCCAGTCATGTAGGGACCTTGTATTCAAGGCCTGAGGTCAGGACAGTCTTGTGGGGGCAGTGGCAAAAAGCAGCCCCCACCCAGAGGGTTGTGCCATGGCCGGGGGCGGGGCAGTTACAGGGCAGAGGCCTGGCTGGTGCTTCAGTGTGCTGTGCAGCCTCAGCCGGGTCCTGCCTCTCCCACCCTGGGTCTGGGTTACTGCGTGACTGCCCCAAGCCTGGCAGGGTCATAGGATCCTTCCACGCACCGGCCCCACAGACACCTGTGACGCAGAGTGCACACGGAAGCGTGCAGAGCAGAGCCTGCAGGCTGCCATCAAGGTTTTACGGAAGGCCATCAGCCGGCACCAGTTCTACGTGCAGGTCTCGGACACTGAGTACGAGGTGGCCCAGCGGCTGACCAAGGCCCCCGAGGCACAGGGGACCTGTGCCACGGGCCAGGTGCTGCAGGACGACAAATGCGGTAAGTCCCCGCTCGTGGCGGCCACACGTCCACCTGGCCAACTCTCCCTGTCCTTCCCTGTACACGTGGCCCGTGTTTGTGTGGGCATATGGAGAGGACAGCTCACATGGGAACAGGGGGATTCCCTAGGTGTGCCAAGGAGAGGAACCCTGGCATTGGTCATCACTGTCACCCCTTGGACCTGGGCCCTGCCCGGGACCCAGGACTCAGCCATATTTCCGAAGCGTCCTCACTGCTTTGGAAGATGAAGTGTGGAAGCCTGGGTTGTTGCTGCCAGAGTGTCACAGCTCATGGGCCCCCTGGTTAGACAGAACTGGACAGTGTCGCTGTGCACCCACACGGGCGCCTGGCCCTGCACTGACCGCCTGGCGGGTGTGTGCCACGTCTCTGCATCATCCCAGCGGCTCCCATCCTCCTGCCCGTGGCTAGGGGCCACCCCTCCATCCACAGGGCTCTAGACTACACGGTCTGAATTGAGTGCTGGGTCTTAGCTGTACCTGCAGGCAGGAACCTGGGGCAGGCACTCAGGAGCTGACTGCTGCCTCCCCGCCCCGCGTCCCATCGCTGTCCACTTTGCCTCTGCAGTGGCCTGCAGGCCTGGCAGCTACTTCAGCGGCGAGCCCAGCCAGTGTGTGCCATGTGCAGCAGGGACCTACCAGAATCTGGAGGGCCAGCTCAGCTGCACCCCGTGCCCCAGCAGCGACGGGCAGGGTCTGGCCGGTGCCCGCAACGTATCTGAATGTGGAGGCAAGTACGAGCTCCCTGGGAGAAGAGGCCAGGGATGGAAGGGGGCCCAGGGCAGGGGCTTCACCTGCCTGCCAGGCTCCCACCACAAAGGCCCACATGCCTGGTAGCGACTTACAAAGCTTGTCACCACTTCCAAGTGTTGTCTGTGCGGTGGCCCAGCTCGGGAGCACCCCATCTTGGGTGTGCCCACCCACATGCAGCACGCATCTTGGTGTCTGTGGGACATAGGGAGAGGACTGGACAGTGCATATGCTGTCCCGTCTGCAGATCGGCCCACAGCATGCACACCACCCTCAAGACGCTGGGCTGAGCGGCCTTCCACCCACTGGAGCAGCAGCTTCACTCTGCACGGGTCACTGGAGCTGGCCTCTGGGTGGTGGGAAAAGCCCAGTTTTGTTGTTGTTGTTGTTTCGTTTTCCAAGCATAACTTGGTTTGCAAAAAGCATTTCCACTTATGCTTGCACTGAACTCCTTCTGTGACACAGGCTCACAGTCTCCCTGGGGCCAAGGGGCATTGACCCTGGAAAAGCCATGGGAGGAGGCACAACCTTGGGGTATGATGCCCAGAGCGATGGATGAGAGGAGCGGGGACCTGCGGCTTCCCCCAGACGGAGGGCCTTGTGGGCTTGCAGGCACCACCTGCCCCTGCTCCCCAGGGCAGAGGTGGCTTCGGGAACCTGGGGTGAAAGCTGAGAATCCCAGGATCAGTGCAACCACCAGCCCTCAGAGCTGGGACTCCCTATGCATCTGGGCTTTCTGAGGGAATTCCAGAACATTCTGGAGTTGCCTTTCCTGTGACCCCCAATGGTGCCCTGGAGCTTAATGGACCAGTTCCGCCAGTGAATGGGGGTATTCCCCAGGGACAATCCCTCTGGAATGCCTAAGCCCACACATATGAGGGTTGGGGAGGGGGGTCACTGCCCAATCAGACTGGGCCAGTATCTCACAGGAACCCCCAAGACTGCCACGCTCTCCCCACCCCACCCAGCACCTTTGCAGGGGCATGGCCAGGCGACTGCAAGCCCGCCCCCTACCTTGCAGCCTGAGCCATGCCCTCTGACCTGCAGGCCAGTGCCCCCCAGGATTTTTCTCCACTGACGGCTTCAAGCCCTGCCAGGCGTGCCCCGTGGGCACATACCAGCCAGAACCCGGGCGCACGGGTTGCTTCCCCTGCGGAGGAGGGCTGCTTACCAAGCAGGAGGGCACCATGTCCTTCCAGGACTGTGAGACCAAAGGTGAGAACGGCACACCCAGGGGGCGTGCGGGCCGTGCAGGTGGGCTTTCCTAGACACCCCTCATCTCCTCCACATGGACACTGGGTGGTGCCCTGAGTGGCTGGCACCGTGCCACATACCAGCACAAGCACAACAGTTACCAATTTCTGAGTTCCAGCAGTGCCAAGGAGCAGCCCAGCTCCTAAGGGGAGCCCTGAGGACAAGAAGGGCCTGGCAGTAGCTCTGACCTGGAGCTCCCCCTTGGCACTGCCAGCCCTCTGACTCGTGACCCCCTCCCCATGGGCCTGGATCTCCTCAGGGACCCCAGTTCCCTCCCTATCCATGGGCATCCATCTGTGTTGCTGGCAAAGGCCAGGCAGCTCACACTCGACCCCAGGGGGCCTGCTGCATGGCCTCACGGTGCCCCAGACACAGACCACTCCGAATTCTCCTCTCTGACCAACACACGTGGCCTCTCCGGCCGCAGGCCCTGCAGCTCCCAACAGGCTCCTGACCACACACCACGGGGACAGAGCAACTCGCTACCTCAACTTCCCACACTCGCCCTCTCCCATCTCACCGCCCCTTCCCCCACCAATCCACAGTGCACTGCTCCCCCGGTCACTACTACAACACCAACACCCACCGCTGCATCCGCTGCCCCGTGGGCACGTACCAGCCCGAGTTCAGCCAGAACCACTGCCTCACCTGCCCAGGCAACACGAGCACCGACTTTGACGGCTCCACCAACGTCACACACTGTAAAAGTAGGTGCTGCTCTCCTGTTTATGGGGGGACACCCCTGGGGTGCTGTTGACTGTCCTATCCGGTCCCCTTTGTGGCACCCTCGGGAGCCCGTCACCAGGAGCAGCATGACTGTACCAGTCACCACTTCCTCTGACCCGTCACATGTCCTGCTGTAGTTTCCGGGCCCCTGGGGAAAGCAAGCAGCAAAGCCGGAGAAGGGAGAGCAGGCCCTGAAGCCCCTGCGTGGCGGACATCAGCTCAGCTGACCAGTGACACGGGGCAGAAGCTTAAAGCTGTGGGGGGCGGGGGCCAGGTGTGGACACCACAGGGTAGATAGACACACAGAGGAACTTGGAAGTGTGCGTCCCAGGGAGTGGCCTGATGTGGCTTGGGTATTTCCCAGAAAACCTTTGGGGGGCTCTGTTTTCTGGGTGAGTCTCCAGTCTGCTCCCCGTTTCTAGGGCTGCTGGTCAGGCTGGAGAAGCCTCCAGGCAGCTGCAAGAGGGGTTTAGCCCTGGAGGTGTGCTCAGCCCACAGCCCGGCTGGCTGGCAGTGTGACCTCCAAGGCCTCCAGGCCAGTGCAGAGGATGGCTCTGCAGGCAGGGTGGTCAGTGTCCCAGTGGGTAAAGCAGGAAAGCCAGCGGGGCTGGAGGCCTGTGGAACACTCAGGTGGGTGTGGAGTATTTTCCAGAAATTTTCAAGTGAGGAGAGAGCTATGAATGAGAATGACCGGAGACATGAGAGAGATGAAGTGTTGGCTTCCATGTGCTTCTTGCACAACTGAGGGGACATCCCTCAGGAGCTCACAACCAGGAACCATGTGGCCCTCAATGGTCACGTTGGGCCTCTGCAAGGATTCATGACTCCAAGGAGCGAAGCGAGGCGTGGCTTCGCCCTCCCTCGGGTGCTCCTGGGTCGTCCCAGGCCCCTGAGAGCAGGACAGCAGGATGCCACTCCCCACTGTCACTCGGCTGTAACATGTTCCGACGGGCGGCAGCAGGGCCAGCTCCGGGAGGTGACAGCCTACAGTGGTCCCCCAAGAAGCCTGCTGGGACAGCGCAGAGAGGGTGGGCTGGAGCCAGGCAAGGCAGCCCAGAAAGGAGTCACATAGGCTGGGCCTCAGGGAACATCAGGCCCAACCCGGGACATGCCTGGCCGTGGACGTGCCCAGGGCCTGGCCGGCTGGCACGGGACAACCCTTGAGGGGACAGTGTCAGCAGCTAGCCCCATCCTAGGCCTCCAAGGCTGCTGCCAGGGACCCAGCCGGCCAGGGACTCTGACCAGATCCTGGGGCCCCGGTGCCCACAGACCAGCAGTGCGGTGGTGAGCTCGGCGACTACACGGGTTACATCGAGTCCCCCAACTACCCCGGCGACTACCCTGCCAACGCTGAGTGCGTGTGGCACATCGCACCTCCCCCGAAGCGCAGGATCCTCATCGTAGTCCCCGAGATCTTCCTGCCCATCGAGGACGAGTGTGGTGATGCCCTGGTGATGCGGAAGAGCGGTATGTACCAGGCTCAGGCGGGCGGGCAGGGCAGGGGCAGCCTCAGCCCCGTGCCCACCCCTTTCCTGGGGCCAAGCAGGGCTCAAGTCTGCCTGGGTCTGGCTCTGAAAGGTGGGCTTTACCAAACTCTAGGGGGAGACCCAGAAATCTTAGCAGGTACCCTAAGCACAGGACCTAGGACCCGGCCAAGTCCACTCTCCACTGTGGCCACAAGCCAGGCTCTTACCTCTAGTTGTCCCTCCAGCTACAAGTGCCCTTTTGTCCTTCCTGTCACACCAGCCGGAGCAAGGCCCCAGAGTACCCTCCTCCTCCTCCCTCTGAGGCTTATGGTGCCAGGACCAGAACACATGCATGTGCACACACCCTTGGCAGTGGGTGCACCTGCAGCCCTGTCAGGCTGGGGAGAGACGCCCCTTGGCAGTGGGTGCACCTGCAGCCCTGTCAGGCTGGGGAGAGACGCCCCTTGGCAGTGGGTGCACCTGCAGCCCTGTCAGGCTGGGGAGAGACGCCCCTTGGCAGTGGGTGCACCTGCAGCCCTGTCAGGCTGGGGAGAGACGCCCCTTGGCAGTGGGTGCCCCTGAGCGCCTGCAGGGACCTGCTTTATTCCTCACAACACACGTGGCCAGAAGCCTCACTGAGAGCTGGGAATTCTGGGTGGGAATGTTACGGGGGGAGAAAGTCCCCACATGCCCGTGGGGGCCCTGTGGGTGCTTGGAGACTGGCAGAGGACGGTTAGGAAGAGGGGGTGAGCTGCTGTTTGCTCCTCTGAGATCCATGGGAATTTAGTGCCATATGCAGGCAGCAAAACTGCTAAGCTAAGAAGCCTTTGCATGCCAATGGGGGCTGCCTCAGGCACCTGGGCCAAGCTCTTAGAGACAGGGGGCTCCCCGAGCCTGACTTCCCCATGCCCCTCCAAGCAGTGTCTGCTGCTCACCTGGAGTGGGCCAGAGTGCATCCCACCCTGTCTGCTGGCTGCTGGAGTAGGCCTTGTGCAGGCACATTTGTCTGGAAGGAGACAATTGGGCAACTCAAGAAGGGGCTCTATAAACAGGTGCATCAGAGCAGAGCAGGGCCAAGGTAGCAGGAAAGGGAGCCGTCCAGGAGTCTTCCTGGAAGAGGAGCCACAGAAACACGTTGCAGAAGGATGAGGGGGAGCAGACAGTGCAGGTGCTGGTGGCTGGTGTGGGGAGGAGCAGGGCCAGAGCTAGTGGGTGGAGAGTGGGGGTGCTGCTGGTCGGCATGGGGAGGGGTGGGGCTGCAGGCAGGAGGCCAGAGCCTGTGGGCGCAAGCAATGGCGTGGCGCCCCTGCAGCCTCGCCCACATCTATCACCACCTATGAGACCTGCCAGACCTACGAGAGGCCCATCGCCTTCACCTCCCGCTCCCGGAAGCTCTGGATCCAGTTCAAGTCCAATGAAGGCAACAGTGGCAAAGGCTTCCAAGTGCCCTACGTCACCTATGATGGTAAGGACACAGTGAGCCTGTCACAGGTGCACTGACCAGTTCCCCTGGCCCCTAAGGACCGGGAGGGATGCGGACAGGCTGGGGATGTTGGGGGTGGCTGGTGCCAGGAAGGAGCTGTCCATGGTGTCTGCAGGCCTCAGCACGAGGAGCTGGCCAAACAGCTGGCTCAGAGAGGGCCAGCTGGTGGTGGGAGGTGGGGTGCAGCCTGAGACCGGGGGTGCCAGGGAGGCCGGCAGCTCTCAGGCCATCACCTGCCCCCATCCAGAGAGAGCTAGAGGGTGGCGGGAGATGGGGTGCAGCCTGAGGCCGGGGGTGCCAGGGAGGCCGGCAGCTTCAGGCCATCACCTGCCCCCATCCAGAGAGGGCTAGAGGGTGGCGGGAGATGGGGTGCAGCCTGAGGCCGGGGGTGCCAGGGAGGCTGGCAGGTCTCCAGCTGTCACCTGCCCCCTTCCTAATGCCTGTCACTTGCCAGAGGACTACCAGCAGCTGATAGAGGACATTGTCCGTGACGGGCGCCTGTATGCCTCTGAGAACCACCAGGAGATCCTCAAAGTGAGTGGCCTTCCCCCTGGGATAGCAGCTCTGCAGTGAGCAGGGCCAGCCCACACCCACCGTCCCCAGGACCCTGGAGAAGGGTAGAAGGGAGGATGGTGGCGAGAGGGAAGGGCCCAAGGACCAGGGGCATCTGTCTCCCCCAGCGATGGCAGCGAGCTGACAACCTTAGCCCCTACCCCAGCGTAATTGGGAGGCTGCTGACTGCCCAACCATTACTGGCAGCGCCAAGGCCCGTGGCCATGGGGGCTTCTGGGCCAGCTGTGTGACATGGGGGTGGTTCCTTAGGGTGGCACCTTAGCCTCAGGGGACCCCACCCCTGTCCCTGAGATAGGATTCCCTCCTCTTCCTGCCTGTGGCCTCAGGACTTAGAGCTGGCTTGTTGAGAGGCCAGACTCCAGGACCAGACTGTCACCCCCCAGTGTCCTGGGAGCCCACATGGTGTCCAGGACAAGGGCAAAGCTAGACTTGGCCATCCATGGTCAGCTGTCATCACACTGAGAAGCAGGGCAGAGCTGGAGGAAGATTCTCCTAGCCTCGGCCAGGCCCATGTGCAGTGGCTCTCAGCTCACGGTGGACACTTGGTCCCCAGCAGCTGTTCTCAGGAGTCTGTCTCCTCACCGGCCCCCGGCACCCAGGCTCTCTGTCCGTAGCCTCTGCTCCAACCAGAACTCTACCTCTTGTTGCCCAGAGGGCCCTGCGTGCCTCCCACACCTCCATCCTGAGCATGCGTCACCCATGCCTCTCTCCTTCCTCTCTGTTCAGGCTCCCTGTCCTCTGGGCAACCTGCTCAGACCTCCTTCATCAGGTGACAAGCAGTTACAAACTGCTGGAGCACTGTCAGCTGTCAGCCTGCCATGGCCTTGCCACAGGGTAGGGAGGAACTGCCAGCCACCTGCTCAGCTCACTGGCAGTCAGCAGCGGCGACTGTGTCTCGAGGCCATGGTGGGGGTGGCTCTGGGGGTGAAGTGAGTGTGAGAGGGAGGACCTGAGTGTGTGCTGGACAGTCCAGCCAGGGAGTGTGAGAGAGGACCGAGCATACCTCTGACAGCCCAGACCACAACAATGAGGCCCTACACCAGGAGTAGGAGAGGCCCTGGCTGAGGCCTCTCTGGGCTCGGGCTGCAGGCCCACACAGCAGGTCCTGCCTCAGTTTCCCCTACAGGGTGGCTCTGCTCCACATTAGGGGTAATGACAGGGCCAGCACTGTGAGCATGCCAGCATCCCTTGCAGGCACCAGGTCACATCCTGGCTACTCTGCTTCCAGTCCAGCTCTCTGCTTACGGGCTGGGAAAGGAGCAGGAGAGGGCTCAAGTGTTTGGGCTGCCGCACACATCTGGGATGCCCAGATGAAGCTCTTGTCTCCTGGCTTAAGCATGACTAAGTCCTGGCCATTGTGGCCATCTAAAGTGAACCAGCACTTGGAAGATCCCTCTCTCTATTTTTCTCTCCCCTAACTCTTTATAACTCTGACCCTCAAGGGCCCACTGGGACCAAAGGGGCTTTCCTACTGGGGCGGGGGAGCCAGCAAGTGAGCACAGGGCTCCACATGGCAGATCTGTTTTATTTTATGATGTATTTTGGAAGGCAGAGATCATTCACCATTCTTCTGGCTGCTGGGTCACTCCCCAAATGGTATTGGTAGCCAGGACTGGGCCAGGCCAGAGCCAGGAATGCAGACTTCCACCCAGGTCTCCCATGTGGGTGCGAGGGCCTAATCCCTAGGTCAGCTTCACCACCTTCTGAGGTACATCGCAGGGAACCGGATCCAAAGTAGAACTGCCAGGACTTGAACCAGCACCCGGGAGGCTGGCACTGTAGGTATTGGCTTGACCTGCACACCCCAGTGCAGGCCCTGGAGCTCGGCCTGAAAGCCAGGCCTGCAGTGTCCCACACCTGCGTCCTTGGCTCCGAGCTGTTTGTCTTTCAGCCTGTTGTGTTTTACAGTAGAACTTTTTAAAGATTTATTTATTTTATTTAAAATGGCAGATTAAAGAGAGAGAGAAAAGTCTTTCATCTAGTGGCTTTATCCCCAAATGCCCAAAATAGCCAGGGCCAGGCCAGGGCAAAGTCAGAGCAACAGCTCCACGTGTGTCCTGCAGGAGTGACAGGCACCCTGGTACTGGGGCTGCCCTGTGCTGCTGACCAAGTGTGTAACTGTGGAACTGGATCCAAAGCACAGGATAGCCAGGACTCATCCCAGCACCCAGGGGATGTGTCTGTCCTGAGCGGCAGCTTGACCCACTGTGCCACAAATGCCCACCCCAAGAACCCTTTATAATAGAATCAAGTTGGAGCCCCAAGCATTAAAACCCACAGAAGAACCTAAAAGCCAGCTGCAGTATTAAAAATGGAAAACTCCACAGCGAAGCAGGGCCATGGGGTCCTGAAACCCACCAGCCAGCCCACCCTTTTCCCCTCCCCTATACCCTCAGGGCCCCTAGACGCTCAGCCCCATCTCTCCCTGCAGGACAAGAAGCTGATCAAGGCTCTATTTGATGTGCTGGCCCACCCCCAGAACTACTTCAAGTACACAGCCCAGGAGTCCAAGGAAATGTTCCCACGCTCCTTCATCAAGCTGCTGCGCTCCAAGGTGTCCCGCTTCCTGCGGCCCTACAAGTAACGCTCTGCCCGGGTGGTCCCCGCAGCCGAGAGTGAGGGAGTCCCCGCACCTCGCCTTGTGAAACCCGGGGCGCATGGCCTGCACAGAGGCGGGCCTGGGCTGTTTCGCGTCCACCGCCTACTAGGAAACACTGCTTCTCACCTCTCCACCTCACTCACTCCCAGGAAACCACGCCTGCCTGGGCCAGCTCCAGCGGGAGAGATGCCGCCAGGCCAGGGACACACATGCCCACCACGTGGGCAGGAGCACGGCCTACGCTCTCCCCGGAGGCTTGGGCCCTGGACGGCTGCCCACAGAAGGAGGGATGTGGAGGCCCCCTCTGGGGAGGGCCTCCTCACTCAGTGGCTGCGCCTCCAGCCACAGACACGGGACAAGGCTCCAAGGATTCTGCAATGGGACGGCCCGACCAGAGCTGCTAGTGGAGGAGACTGTGCTATCCCCTATGAGAACAGCAGATCCATCTGTACATACAAATATAAATATAACAGATATATATACACACACCTCTACGTGTGGGTACTTTGGGACAGCTCCTGGTCACTGAATAGCAATGGCGGCCTCACCCCTTCTCCCAGGAACCACCCAGCCTCCCTCCCCTCTGCCATGCCCTTACCACCCCTTACCACCTCTTCCCCTCGGACTGCTCCATGGGTGACGGCACCCCCTGTGGCAGTGACCCTGGGATCTGCACGGTGTCCTCATGTCACCAGGAAGGCCTCTCCTGGTAGCCCAGGTTGAGGACACTCAGAAAGTGGCCATTGTCTACAGAGCCCCGCCGCAGTGGACAGAACAAGGCGGCTGTCGGGAGGCCTGTGGCTGCTTCCTGAGGGGCCTATGTGGAGCCTTCCCCCCAGGTAGGACTCTGCGTGCAGCCACAGTCCTCCCAGGGAGCCAAGCCCAGATGCCACAGCTCTGCCTCTGCCTTCAGAGACCAACTCAAGGGCAAGGATCTCAGTGGGGCCTCTGCCCTTGACTGGCAGGCCATGTCCCTGCCCCTCCTGGGGCCACAATCCCCACAGACCAGCTTCTGCGGAAGGGAGCCCGCTTGCTCTGCCCAAGCTATCACAGATGCCCTCTGGGGTGCCCTCTGGAATGGACTCCAGCCACAGCTGCCTGAGGGAAAGCCCTGGAAGGCAGTCCCTCCTTTTTAGGGTTCCCCAGAGAAGCACAACCAGTTAGCTGTTTGTGACAGAGAGGACTTGTGCCTTTCTGGAGCCCGGGGGTGTGGCAGCCTGCCAGCTGCAGACCAGGAAGCCTGCCTGGGCTGTGACTCAGGCTGCGTGCAGAGTCGGGCAGCTGGGAGGATGCTGACGGGCACCCAGGGTCCAGAGGCCCGAGACCCAGGAGCCCCTGATGTCTCAGCTCCCCTGCCCAGCATGCTGTCCCCCCAGGCCCTTAGCAGGCTGAGAGAGGAGGAGGGTCCTACCATTGCCGGTCTGTGGATGCTGATCTCTTCTGGAAACACCCGACAAACATACCCACCGATGATGATGGGCAGGCACGTGGGCTTAAGTGTCCACTCATCTTGGGGCCTTGCCAGGCACAGAAGACCCCTGTGCTGTCTCGGGAATCAGAGAGCAAGCACACAGCTCCCTCCTGGACTCCGGACGTGGGCAGTGTGGACCCTCAGCAGTGGTCGGTCCATAAACTCCTGGCAGCTACTCTGCACCCTGCGCTCCCAAGAGAAACAGCAAAGCAAGAAGCTTCTAGAAGCAAAATAATTTGCCACTTGGCCATGACTGAGAAAAAGAGCCCGGGGCCCCAGGTTCCTCAAAGCCGGGTGCAGCTCCTGGCACAGCCTTGGAGGTGTCTGCCCAGGCCCTACAGAAGGAGCTCCGGTAAGGACCCAGTGCAGGGGGGCGGTAGTGGCAGGGCCGGACGAAGCCTGGCACAGACGGGCGGAGTTGGTGGACAGGCCCTGCCACCATGGGAGCCAGCGGGCAAGGCCTGCCCTGCTTGGGGCCTCTTAGATCCCCCTCTTCCTTCATCTGGCAGCTCCTCAGGACCCGCCCCCACCCCACACAGGCCTCTGCTCCTCCCCCACCCCTGTACTGCCAGGGGCAGCCGTCCGTTGCTGCTGCCCGTTGGTCTGGGACACACAGATAAAGGAGAATGGAAATATGGGCCAGAAAGTCCCCAGATAGCGACAGTGGCAGCAGAGGCCACGTGTGAAAGCCCAGTAAGGATGCTTTTCCCCACACCCACATACCCACAGTGCTGAGGCCTGCCAGCCCTCCTCCAGCACCTGTTGCCTACCTCACTGGTGTTTGGCAAGGTGAGCTAAAGGATGGTCTGCTGGATGAGCTAGACCATTTAACAGACAACTGCCGTGTACACAACCCAGACTCAGAGGGGTGGCCAGCCACGGACACAGTCTCTGTCTCCACGGCCGCCCACCCAACTGTGCAGCCAGTCCCAACAAGAAAGTACTAAGAACTGTCTCCACTCCTCCTCCGTGGCACACCGAGAAAGCTGCCCAACCTCGCTTGCAACCTCTCCAACCCAACACGCAGGGTGCCCTTCTGAGCAAGGGGGCCACGCCAGGCCGAGGTCACTCAGGCCAGAGCGGAAGCACTGGGAAGACAGAGCTGGAGCCGAGCATCCTGCCCTCCGTGACTACCCCCCAAACCCAGGAGTGTGCCCCTGCATTTGAGGTGGCTGGCATTTAATTTCACCCTGCCCACCTTGCTTCTGAGGATGGTGCCAGAGGGGGCATACTCAGGGCACCCTCCACCAGCACCCTGCCCCAACAGCCCCATGCCAGCCCAAGCCAGGCCTCCACCAGCATGCAGGCCCCTGGGTGGACCCTTGGAGACTGGCCAGCCTGGAAGAGAGACGAGGAGGGTAGGAGGAGCTGGCACTGGCTATGTGGTACTGCTATGTGCCACCTCCACCCACGCATCTGTTCAGCCCCATCTGCAGACATGGAAATGGAGACTGGTGGGCCGAGGGACAAAGTGGATGGCAGAGAGGGCAGTCAAACCCAAGCTCCTCCAGTTCCCATGGAGAGAGTGTCTGTCAAGTCTTGCTGTGTGAGTTTCACACATTCGAACCAGGCCAGCCTTTGCAGAAGGGTGCAGGGAGGAGCTGGGGAACCAACAGCAGGTACTGAAAGAGCGGGAGGGTGCTGGCCTCACTGGCAGTTCTGTCCCTCTTAACAAGCACTAACCCTCACTGTGAGAAGGGCCAGGCAACGAGCAGGATGCCTGCCGTGCAGATGTGAGCTGGCACTGTGACACTGACAAAATCCATGCCCCCTGCAGATCAACAGGAGTGACCATGCCCCTGCCACACAGGCACGCTGCATCCCAACAAGGGCAGGGAACAGAGGCTGAGAGAAGGCCCAAAGCCTTGTGCGCCAGCTCAGAGCCCCGGGACAGGGAACAAGAACAGAATGCGAGCTCGGGGAGACCTCTGCCCTGCCTGTGCTGCCTACACAGGGAGGGCGCGAGTCAGGGCCTTAGCGCTGTCCCGCTGCCAGCTGTCTCTGGTCCAGGCTGCAAACTGCAGCTCCTCCACCAGGTCCCCCACGTGCATGTCATTAAATGTTTGTGAGAATCACTTTTATAATAAACAGGAAATGAACACAAATCCTCTCTGTTGTTCAAGATCATGACCGGGGATAGCAGTAGAGTAAACCAGGATCTAGGAATAGCTGGAAGGGCCGTGGGGTTGCTGCAGGGCGGCCCTGAAGGAGCTCCGGCAGCAGCCTCGCAGGATGCCACTCAGCACCTGTGGCACACCGGCAGAGAGCAGACCCAATCAGAGCTTGTGTCTCCTGTCTTACCTCATGGGATGACACGTGCTGACACCGTGGCTTCCGCCTGCAAGTCAGGCCCACAGTGAGGAAGCAAGTGCACAGTGGACGTGTGTGCACACATGGCTGTGGGTATCCACCCCCTCTAACCCTCTAACACTCCCGGCAGGTGGAGCCCAAGGTCCTCCGTTGAATGCCACATTCTCCAAGGAGCTGTCAGCGTGTGCACCCAGCACAAGTGACAGCAGCGCCCAGAGCAGAGCGGGTGATGGTGGCCAAAGGACAGAGACAAGCCCAGTGTTCAGACACAAGATGTGGTCAAGCCTGCCTTCAATAGGAGAGGAAGCCCAGTGTCCCACGGGCAGCCCCTGAGGACATGATGCTAACGTGCACAGAGGGCCAGCTGCCCTGCCTGGGCCCCTCCACAGACACCCATGGTGGTGTGACAGTGGGTGGAGCTGGGGAGGGGCAGGTGGGTGGAGATTCCAGGAAGGGGATAAGGTGCAGCCCCACACTCCCCCTGTGTGGCCATGAGGGCCAGATAATGGCTTCTGTGCCTGTGTATCACCCAGACCAGAGCAGGCGCAATGTCTCCAAGCACACACCACTGCACTCAGTTTGGGCCAGAGCACCACGGACGCAGGGGGTCTTGGGCCTCTGGGGACTGGCCAATGCACTGTGGCCTCGCTGGACTCCGCAGCAAGGGGGAGGCACAGGGTACACCAACCCACTCCCCATGACCAGGACCCTGAGTGACCCCCCACACACCTCATGGAGCCAAGGATCCCCACCCCCTCAGCCTGGCACACCCCAAGGCTGCAAGACTCGGGGATCATATCCGGTCAGGCTAGGACCAAATTGTCCCTGTGGCAGAATTCCAGGGCTTCCCACTCTCTGATCCAAGTTAAGCAGCTTAGTGAAGATGGGGCATGCGTGGCCGCCCTGTCCGCTCAGGGGCAGTGAATGTGTGATGTGCCTGAATGAACGCAATGCATGCCTTAAGTTCCCGCACCCAGCAGGAAGATATATGGGAAAGATGACACCAGGAGAGCTGACAGAAACACAGACAGTGTCCTAAGCACTTGGCCTTTAACTCGGAACTGAATCTGCAGCTTAAAATGTCCCCATCAGTATGTGGGAAAACGATTTAAGAACATGCGACGGCTCGGTGGCTCTCACCTGACAAGCTCCAGGATCCCATATGGGCGCCGGTTCTAATCCCGGCAGCTCCACTTCCCACCCAGCTCCCTGCCTGTGGCCTGGGAAAGCAGCAGAGGACGGCCCAAAGCCTTGGGACCCTGCACCTGCATGGAGACCTGGAAGAGGCTCCTGGCTTCAGATTGGCTCAGCTCCAGCCGTTGTGGCTACTTGGGGAGTGAGCCTGAAGAACCTAGGCGTTTTCTGCCTTTTGTGATTCTGCCTTAATGGCTTGGCTGGGGGCTGTGTGAACTCCAGGCCTGACAGTCTACGTGACACCCGCAGGACACCTGGCAGGTCACGTAGGCAGACCACGCCTCAGGAAGGAGGTTCCTGGTGTTTGATAAGATTCACGGCCCAATAGCTCATCGATTTGTACTTTTTGCAAGTTGTTGCTTGTTTCAAATCCACCAATAGAAGCCTGCTAAATCATGACTGTATAATTAATAGCCTGAAATGTATAAGAACTGGGGGACTTGGGCTCTCTCTCTCTCTCTCTCTCTCCCTCCCTCCCTCTCCTGGCTCGTGCTTCTTTTTGTCCTTGCTGATCCAGCAGCAGCCTTGGCTGCAGCTGCCCCTCCCCTGCCCAGCCATGCTGGACTGGGGGAGGGGGCTGGGATACCTAAGCTAACTTGAATAATCCACCTTTATGCCTTAGCACCGACTTCAGACTTTATGATTATCTGGGGATTTCAAAAATCCGGCACAACAAGCCAGCAGGTGAAGATCTGCCTTTCCAACAAAAATAAATAAATCTCCAATCCACAAATGGGACCATCATCACTCTCACCACTTCCCAACAGGTTTTTTTCTCTTAATGTTCATGGAAAATGCACATTAAAAAAGAGTCAGCGCATGGGTTACATAGTTTTGCACTACTACAAACTTATTTTTTTTTAATGTATTAATTTTTTTTGAGAGGCCCAGACAGGAAAGAGCGGCGAGAGCACTTCCATCTGCTGGTTCACTCCCCAGACGGCCACCACAGCCAGAGCTGAGCCCATCGGAAACGAGCGTGCAGGGGCAGACCAGGAACGCGTGGACAGAGCCACGTTCAACTGCAGATACACAAGGAGGGCGGCAGGGCCACGACTCCGCCCCAGGCGTGCTCCAGGCCTCGACCGCCGCCCCGGGCTGTCCCCGACGTCCCTTCCGCCCCTGACCGCGTGGGACGCCTTTACCCCGCGCTCTCCACACGCTCTCCCGCAAACGCAACATCCAACATGGACGGCGGGAAGCGAAAGAAAAAAAAAAGCCCCCGCCTCGCGCAGGCGCGCGTGCGCACTCGCCGGCCGCGCCTCCCCTCACGCCGCCGGCCGCACGCAGGCTGAGGCGCCGGGCGCGGAGGGCGGGCCGGGGAGGCGGGCGCCGCGGGCCGACGGGCTGACGGGCGGGCTGGCGGCGGGAGGGCCGGGCCCTGGGCTGCGGCGGCCGCTCAAGGAGGCGCCATGGAGGCCGAGGCGGCCCCGGAGCGCGCCGGCCCGAGCGGGGCGCCCGACGAGGACGCGAGGGCCCTGGACGAGTTCGTGGCCCTGCACGGCCCCGCGCTGCGCGCCTCTGGGGTCCCCGAGCGGTACTGGGGCCGCCTCCTGCACAAGCTGGAGCACGAGGTGCGGAGACGCGGGTTGCTGGCGGCCGCGTGAGGAGGGGGCGCCGGGGCGGGGTTTGGGGTCCGAGAGACCCACGCGTACCTGGGGCCCCTCCGGCCGACCGGCAGGGGCTGTGCGGGGAACCGGAACTGGCACCAGCGTGTCCCCCTTGTGGGTCTGCCCGAGCCCCCGACCCGCCGGCAGCCAGCCCCTGGGCAACACAGTGGGAAGGGAGCTTCGTCACCCCATTGCACAGCTAGGAAGACTGAGACCTCTCCGCTGCCGAAGGCGGTTTCATGGGCGCTCCCTTCTACTCACCCGCCTGCTCCGACCAGGTGCTGCCTTCCCAGACTGGGGCAAGCCGGGAGCTGCAGGTGGCAAGACCTGGGCGTGGGGACAAACCCCACCCTTGCAGTTTTCCGCTGCAGTCCGCGAGGGTGCTGGCCTGGGCCCAGATGACTCCCCCTCGGAGTAGGATTTGTCCTGTCCCAGGCTTGTGAGCCCCCTGTTTGCTGGGGAGGGCGTAAGAAGGGCCCCCCACTGCCACAGGTCCCTCCCCAGCCGAGCCCCGGTCCCCACCTGCACAGCAGGGCTGATCCCAAGGGACACCTGGTTCCCAGGGGCCTCGGAGTGGCCGTCACCAGGGACCCCTGGTGCCCAACTGCTCCGCTCGGTGCCCCCCTGTGCCCCGAGGTGGCCAGTGTTTTTCCATGACCCTTGCGGGCCGAGCTGAGTCACCACATTGCCAGACACAGACCTGCGGCCCAGGGAAGGCTGCTCCTGCCGGCGGCCTGGGTGGCCTGGGTTCGAGGAGGGCAGAACAAGCCCTCACCCTACACCCCACAGAGCTGAGGGCCCACACCGTGCAGGAGGTGGCAGGACCTCTCCTTGTCTCCTTGGGTTCACCTCCAGCACTCCCAGCAGGGGTTAGGGTGAAGGCTGGGGATTTGGGGTGCTGGGGCAGAAGCTCCCTAAGCCCCTGTAATCCTTAATTACAGGAGAGGAAGTAATGGGACTGCCAAGAGCGTTCAGGCCCAGGTCGTGCACGCCCGTCTGGGGCTGCCACCCTGGTGCACCCCATACAGCTACCCCTGGGTCTTGGCTGTACGTTTCTGTCCACTCCCACCTCCCCCGCCGCCGCAAGTTCAAGTCTCCCCCCATCCTGCTGAGAATGCCTCCCCGTCTGGGAGCCTCTTAGGGCCCCTCGCTTTTTACCCTGTGTGCCAGGGGGGTCCAGGTGCCCACCCCACCAGTCCTCCTGTTCCCACTGCATTTGGGACTGACTTGCCCTGCAATGCAGGGGTGCTGACAAACAGGAATCCCCGCCCTTCATGGTCTAGGTTCTCAATGCGGGCAGCCAGGCACGTGCATGATGGCACAGGTGGGGGCAGATGAATCCTGAGGCCTGAGGGTGGCACCATGCCATGAGTGGGTGAGGCCTCCCACCAAGCTGTACTGTCTCCCCCAGGTTTTCGATGCAGGGGACTGGTTTGGAATAATGCAAGTAGAAGAGGCAGAGGAAGAGGAGGATGAGGCGGCCCAGGAGGTGCGGAGGAAGCAGCCCAACCCGGGCAGCGAGATGTGCTACAAGGTCATTGTGACCAGCGAGAACGGGCTCCAGGCTGCTGACCCCAACAGGTAGGGCCAGGCCGGAGCGGTGCCCACACCCACCCGCGAAGCCCCTGGGATCGTGCGGGGCGCAGCGCACAGGAGCCCTCCTCGGCTCCTCTCCATGGTCCTCTCCTGGTCGGCGTCTCATGGAGAGTTCTCGTTTATTGATGAGGAAGGACCAGGAAAGCAGCCCGAGGTCAGACAGCTGGCTGAGGGTGTGGCCATGTTGAGGCGCCAGCTTTCCTGGCACCCAAGCCCTGGCTGTCTGCTGCCACACAGTCCCCTGGGCACAGGAGCAGGGGGACACCTCACTCCCCTGGGATGTGTAAACATCTCGGAGCGGAGACCAGCACAGTGAACTCAGCAGCCAGCCTGGGGACGGTGCTGTTCCCCCAGGGCTGGGGGGGAGGATGGCTCATCCTCCGCCCTCCACTCCCTCTAGGAGACCAGGGTGTGTGGGCCACAGGCGTCCCTGTGTGTAGGGATAGAAGCCCTGTCAGTAGGCCACCTTGGTCCTGCCTCAAGTCCGGCTATGCTGTGTAGTGGCTCCTCTGCATGTTCCCTGGCAGCGGTCTAGACCAGGTGACTGTTCTCCGTGTCTGGCACTAGGCAGTGGGCACTCCTGTTACCGCATTGAAGGACAGTGGGCCAGGCCCTTCGGCCCCCAAGACCATGCAGAATGCCCATGCTGGGGACGTGGAGCCTCCGCAGGACTGGCCGCTGGTCCTCCCCTCCCTCCCCTTCTGGCGGCTCACAGGCGGTGGCTTCTCCTACAGCATCTTCCTCATTGACCACGCCTGGACGTGCCGCGTGCAGCATGCCCGCCAGCAGCTGCAGCAGGTGCCAGGGCTGCTGCACCGCATGGCCAGCCTGATGGGTGTCGATTTCCATGGCGAGCTGCCCAGCACGGAGGCCGTGGCCCTGGTGCTGGAGGAGATGTGGAAGTTCAACCAGACCTACCAGCTGTCCCACGGGGTAAGCGGGCTAGGCGGGCGCTAAAGGGGGGGCGGCCGCAGGGAGCCTCTCACAGGCCATGCACTCGTGGGATGCAGCCCCTCAGATCCCCATCCCCATTCTGTCACCCTCAGAGGTAAGCCGAGACCCACCAGGATCCCCTTGGGCCTTCATCACCCACTTGCAGCCAGGAAAAGTGCCAAGCTTGTGTTCCTTAACCACAGCTTCCATGCCACTTCCTCTAGGGGGACTTCTTAACTCACTGACTCACCAGCCCCCAACCTAGACATGTCCTCAGCTTGCCAGGCTTAGTGCCCTGCCCCTGTGTCCTCGCCTGCAGGGTCAGGGCTCTGCCCAGAGGGCTCCGGGGACTGAGGGTGCATGTGGGACATGCTGGGAGAGCCAGCTGAGGTTTGAGGGTACAGGAGTGGGTGGGACAGGCTGCCACTGTGCCCTCCCCCAGACCGCCGAGGAGAAGGTGCCAGTATGGTACATCATGGACGAGTTTGGCTCACGGATCCAGCACGCGGACGTGCCCAGCTTTGCCACTGCGCCCTTCTTCTACATACCCCAGCAGGTGGCCTACACACTGCTGTGGCCCCTGCGGGACCTGGACACAGGCGGTGAGTCTGGTGAGGGAGCCCGTGCTGCAGAGGACAGCCCGCCCCTGCCGTGCCTAACGGGCTGCATATCTTGGAGCAGAGGAAGTGACCCGGGACTTTGCCTACGGAGAGACGGACCCCCTAATCCGGAAGTGCATGCTGCTGCCCTGGGTCCCCGCCGACCTGCTGGACCTCAGCTATTCCACGCCTGAGCCGCCTGCCGACTACTACCAGGTGTGGCCCCCTGCCTCCACCTCCGGCCAGGGCCTATTGGCTTGGTGGATTCCAGAATATTCTCTACCCAGTTACCAAGTGAAAGGCAGGGGTCAGTGTGATCGTGAACTGCCTGTAGGGGACTGTTCTGTCCCTCCAGCGAGGGCAGGGAGCGTTTATTTTGCCAAGAGCCACTTGGAAAAGCCAAGTGGCCAGAAGCCACTTGAACTTGGGTCTGCCAAAGGCTTGTTGAATTCCTCGTCCTGTCCATTGGTTCAGGTTGATGCTCCCCACACCTGCGTCAAGTTGGCAGGAACCTGAGCTGTGGCCAGTGGTGTGGCTGGCCCGCAGAAGGCAGGTGTAGCTGTGCGGCCAGACTTGGACAACTGATGCCACCACACATGGCTCCCACAGGGCAGGAGCAGGGGGGACACCCCGGGGATCCTGGCTCTGTGTGTCCAGTCCCCTTCCGTTCTGGGCCCTCTGCCCCCAAGATGGCCCTCCAGGGCCCAGCCACCTGCTGCCACCACACAGGTCGTCACACACTGCCTCATGTAGTGACTTCTCTCAGAGCAGGTGGACGGAGTCCTTGTGGCGTCTGTGTGTGGGGGGGTGGCCGTGTGTGGGGGGTGGGTTCCCCTGCTTCCTTAAACTGAGGTCTGTTCCTCACTCGCCGTGTCCCCTCAGGCCATCCTGGAAGAAAACAAGGAGAAGCTGCCACTACCCATCAGCCCGACAGCGCGTCCCAGTGACCACGTCTTCAAGTACGCAGCCCCTCCCCACTAGCCGGGGCCTCCTCTCGCTGGCCCACCTGCACGCTTCTCTGGCCCCGGGGCAGGGCCTGGCACACAGTCGCTCAGCAGGTCGCCCGCATTGCCACGTAGGCAAGGCAGGGATGGAAGGCAGGAACAGAGAGCAGGGAGGGGAAGTCGGTGCTGGGGCCAGACCCTGCACATACTGCTGGCAATAACAGCCCCCTGGGCAGAGGCCCCATGCCGGCCCGCTGGGTGCCCGGGGACAGCCCTCCTCAGGAGGCTGCAGGCATGGGCTGGGAGCTGTAAAGATGAGTGAGCAGATGCAGGCCAAAGCCTCTTCGTTGCTGTGGCAGAGGGAGATGGGCTGAGGTGTGGGAACCCTGCCACGCAGTGCAGTGCTGGGCCCGGGTGGAGTCCTTCACAGGTGGTTCTCTGCCGTCACAGGAACCCTAGGCACCTTTCATTCAGCCGTCCACACCTGTACCTGGTCCACACCAGGCTGTACCTGCCCCCTCCCACCAGATCCTAGGCCTTACCAACCTCTGCTAGCCAGCTGCCTAGCCCAGAGACCCCTGTCCAATGTCACCACCTCCCCTGCTTCACCCCAGTCCACGGGGGGCAATGGTCACTCTGCAGCCAGGATTGGACTCAGCTGACCTGAGTGGGTCACCATGTCATCTGTGGGTCCTCCCCTGGTTGCCAGATACCCAGTTCCTCTGTGAGAAACCTGTCACCTGTGTCCACTCACCTTAATATTTAGCTGTCACCTAGTGGGTCCCTAGTGTCCCGGCCACACCTAGTGTCAGGCTGTGGGCACACTCAGCCCCGGGCTGGGCTGGCAGCACCCCAGGGCTCTCCCAGGTCCCCAGCCCCCCCCCCCCCCCGGGACTGGGCTCCTGTGTCCATAGGAGGTCAGTGCTGTCGGCTCCGCTTATCTCACGCTTGTGGGAAAACAACACCCAGGTCACAGGGCAGGTGGGTGCCTAGGGTATCAACACAGATTGCCCCTCCCCTGGCAGACACAGAGGTGAGGGGCTAGTGCCAGGCCTTGTAAGACAGGCTGAGGCAGGGCCAGCTCAGCGGGGCCTCTTCCGCAGGGTCTACACCGACATGCGCCAGGTGCTCAGCCACCTCTCCCACCCCCGCTTCGTCTTCACCCAGAGCGAGGCCGACGCCGACATCCTGTACAACTTCTCCCACTTCAAGGATTACAGGTAACAGGGACTCCAAGGCGACGCCCAGGGCTGCCTGCCCGTCATCGCAGCCCAGCCCTGAGCTGCCCTGTGGTATACCCGCCCCGGCCACAGGAAGCTGAGCCAGGAGCGGCCAGAAGTGCTGCTGAACCAGTTCCCCTGTGAGAACCTGCTGACGGTGAAGGACTGCCTGGCCTCCATCGCGCGCCGGGCTGGGGGCTCTGAAGGGCCCCCCTGGCTGCCCCGTACCTTCAACCTGCGCACAGAGCTGCCCCAGTTTATCAGCTACTTCCAGCAACGGGAGAGGCGGTGAGCGCCCCACCCACAGGGAGCCAGGCGGCCAGAGACCCATCCTGGGCTGAGGGTCCTTTCCACCACAGCCCAGCTCCCCACCCTACTCCCCACCCAACATCTCTGCTGCTGGGTGTGGCCTAATCAGTGCCCCCACCCCACAGGGGCGAAGACAACCACTGGATCTGCAAGCCCTGGAACCTGGCCCGCAGCCTGGACACGCACATCACCAGGAGCTTGTGTAGCATCATCCGGCACCGGGAGAGCACCCCCAAGGTGGGTAGAGCAGGCCTCTGCAGGTGGCAGTGCAAGGGGGTGGCTGGAATTGGGGTGATCCGAGCTCTCTCCAAAGCCCGAGATCAGTAAGCTTTCTCACCCCTTGTTAAAACAGACATGGCATAAAGCACTCGTCGTGACCCCAGGCAGGCTGAGAAGGCAGAGGAGGGCTTGGGGTTACTGTGGGACAGCCCCTGGTGCGCCCCTGCATGTGGGATTGGGGCCGTGGGCGCTCCAGGGCCCCCTCTCCTGGCCCGGGGAGGCGAGAGCTGCAGGCGAGCCCACACATGTGTCCTCCAGGTGGTGTCCAAGTACATCGAGAGCCCCGTCCTGTTCCTACGAGAAGATGTGGGCAAGGTCAAGTTCGACATCCGCTATGTGGTGCTGCTACGGGCCGTGCAGCCCCTTACCCTGTTTGTGTACGACGTGTTCTGGCTGCGCTTCTCCAACCGGTGAGTGGGCACTGGCCAGGAGGGGACCTGGTGCAGACAGGGCCAGGTTGTGGGGCCTCATTCACTGCACCTCAGACAGGGTCCTGGAGAGACGAAAAGGTCCCACATCTGGGGCAGCCTTGCGGGGGCGGGGGGGAGTCTCAAGACCACAGAGGGCACAACTGGGCTGGCTGTCCCAGCAACTACCCTCACAAGCCATCCCTTCCATCTGGGCAGTGACTGCTCGGCAGCAGGCAGAGCTCGCCAGAGCCCAACGGCCTCGTGAAGGCCCCTCCCAGTGCCCCCTGAGCATCCTCCATGACCACTAAATCGCTGCCCAGGTGTCAGGCCGATAGCACCTGCACGGCAGGGACCAAGGGGCCTGCACTTGATGTCACCCGTCTCTCGCAACCCTGGGAACCCCTGCTCCTGCACACTGAGTGGGCCGGGTGACAGACATCCACACACGCATTGTCACTGCATTGTGGGGCCCCAGCCCCAGCCCCAGCTCTGATGGAGCCGCCCCACCTGCAGTCAGACCCATGGGCACTCGGTCAGGGAGACCCACACCATGTCTCCGGCTGCTTCTCCTCCAGGCCCTTCGCCCTCGACGACCTGGATGACTACGAGAAACATTTCACTGTCATGAACTACGACCCAAATGTGGTGCTTAAACAGGTAGGCCTGCTGGGGTGTGGGGAGGTCAGAGCAGACAGGCCTGTCCCCAGCTCTGTGTTTGAAGGCGATTTTTAGAATGACTGAGTATGCCAGCGGCCAGCGGTTCCTGGGCTCAGGGTGACTCCTGGGCCCTACAGCAGATCAGAGCAATCAGAGCACATGTCTCACCACCTCCCCATCGCCCTGGGCGAAGTGTCCCTCCTCTCCCGCTGCTGACACCCATACCCCGGGCACTGGGCAGCAGTTCTGCCCAAGCGAGGCCGTGAGGGGGCACTGTGGTCGCAGGCCTGTACGGAAGTGTCCTGTGGCTGTGCTGGTCTGCCTGCCGGTGGGGAGCCTGCATCGGGCTCCACTGGCCCTCCCTGCCCTGCCGTGATGTCCTGAAGGGGCGCGCATCCTCCGCAGTCATTCCTGCACAGCTGTATCCCCAGCTGTCCTTATGTGCATCCAAGTCCGTGGGTGGCTTAGGTCACCTGGCACGGCCTGCTGACCACCTAGAGGTTCAGGTGTTGCTGTTAGCACAGCGTCCAGTCCTGCGCCCTCCCTTGTCTCTTGCTGCTCACAGCCATGTAGCACACGATGTCTGGGGGGTGCCCACCCCCTCCCTGGTGGGTGCTTGACTCCAGGACTGCACATCTGGAATGTGCTAGACATCAGCCTGGGGTCCCAAGCCCCTTCCTGGACATCAAGCCTGTGTCACTCCAAGATGCCCTGTGCCTGGGGTGCCAACACTGGGGCTCCACGGGGCCCGTCCCCACTTGTTCTTCTCACTCAGGCATGTTGAAGTCAAGTTTCCCAAGTCTTGCTGTCCCTCAGGCATTTGGGAGTCTGCTGGGCCGATGGTCATGAGCTACCCGTTGGTTGTACTGCCAGGAGCTGGGTGTGGCAGCTGGGGCCCCACAGCCTTTCAGCCTTGGCACCTGCAATTGCAGAAAGAGATCCAGAGGCTACCCCCAGTCTCTTGCCAGGCTCTGTAGCCCACAGGGCTGGCACTGAATCCTCCAGGGTATCCGAGGTCCCCCTGCCATCCAGCGGAGGTCCAGGCCCCATGTGACAATGTATCTGTTGCAGGTACACTATGACGAGTTCATCCCTGAGTTTGAGAAGCAATACCCTGAGTTCCCCTGGAGTGGTGTCCAGGTGAGGCTGTGGGAGCAGGGAAGCAGGTGATGGGGCTGCCTGGGGCTGGGGCTCAGGCAGGAACAGTCACTCAGGTCCCACAACCCCACCTTTCTGTCCCCAGGCCGAGATCTTCCAGGCCCTCAGGGAGCTGTTCCAGGTGGCTTGTGCCCGGCCCCCCCCCATGGGCCTCTGCGACTACCCCTCCTCGCGGGCCGTCTATGCCGTCGACCTCATGCTCAAGTGGGGCAGCCAGGCAGATGGTGAGGAACAGCACCGAGAGCTCCCTGCCCCACCAGGAGACCGAGGCGTGCGGAGGCCGTGGCTCAGTCCCCATGCACAGGCAGGGGCGGGTGGTGAGAGAGCACGCCTGGGACGGAGCCCACCCATATCTGTGCAGCCCTGGTGGGCCCGCCAGTACCCTCCCATGCTGGCCTTGTGTCACTGCCGCCCTGCCAGACTGCAATGACAACCTCCCCAGGACTGTGGCCACCAGCCCTCAGGCCACCCGCTCGTTTGTGTTGCTCGCAGGGCGGCGAGTGATGCAGCCACAGATCCTGGAGGTGAACTTCAACCCAGACTGCGAGCGGGCCTGCAGGTACCACCCCAGCTTCTTCAACGACGTCTTCAGCACCTTGTTTCTGGACCAACCCAATGACTGCCACATCACCCGCCTGCTCTAGGCGCTGGCAGCCAGGGCCCCAGCCCTCCCACCTCTCCTCCCTGCCCCCTCTCTGAAGCCCTTGGCCCTGCTGTACACCCTGGGGGCGCAGGATCCTCCCCAGGCAGCTGAGCTGCACCCCAGGCCTACAGTCCCCAGCTCAGCCGAGGGCTCAGTTCTGGATGCCAGGAGAGGCTGTGTTGGCAGTACCTCTGGGAGGCGCGGGCCACTCTATGGGACAGGCAGGCCAGCCCAGCTCTTGATCCTCTTTGCTGCATTGGTACCCCAGGTTCTGTGGGATGGGGCAAAGCCTTAGCCCCCATCCCAGCTCTACCAGCAAACCTCCCAGCAGGCTCCAGCTGGGAGGGGCTTTCCCCTTCCTCTGGGAAGTCAGACCATATTGTCCCTGCCTGGCAGCCCCTGGGCACACCACCAGGCGCAGCCTTGTCTGAGGGTCTTGGGATGCCCCAGGCAGTGGGCAGCCAGGAAGTGCTGCTTCCAGGGCACCTTGGTGCCAAGGCCAGCAGCCATCTACCAGGAGCCCGAGTGTAGGGCTCTCATTAGTGTTTATTAATGGGGGAGAAGGTAAAATTCTGTTGTTTCCTTGTCTGAGTTCGAGGCAGCTGCCAGCATGTTGTGCAGCCAACTCTCCAATGGGCGGGAGCTGCTTCCAGAACATTCCAGGAGCAGAAGGGTGGGGCCTGGTGGCAGTAGTTTCATTTTTGAAGCAAAATAGTGTTCCTCCTATAGTAAAACTGGATGTGTCTGCACCTCCCAAACCTGGGTTGGCTGGGGCACCTTGGCCACCACAGAGCAGCCCCCTGCTGGGGCGCCCCTGCCCCCAAGCCTTCAGTATTGTACCACAATAAAACGTGCCTTCTTTTACAGTAGCTCTCGTTCCTTGGGCCCTGGAGGCACGGACCTGGCCCCAGGTGCCTGCCAGACTCGCTGCTGCCAACCCAGGCAGAATGCTCAGGTGTGTAGCCTGAGAAACAGGCAGGGAGGGAGACCCTAGCAGCCTTGGGCAGTGTCCTGCTTGGCGTGCCTGTCCCCTGGCCATGGTGGGTGTGGAGCGGCAGGCAGCAGCTTCAGTGGGACCTACGCCCCTTAGAGAATGAGATGTGTGGACGCAGAGCCGCTCACAGGACTCAGGAACCCTGGGACGGGTGCTCCTGCTCGCGCCTGCTTGCTGCCAGGAGGTGCTGGGGGCAGGCCTGGACAGTCACTGACAGCTGGGCCACACGGCCCTGGCCTTGATCCCCACCTGGCTGCCCACCCACTCACTTCTGACAGATAGGCGCTGTGCACCATTCCTGGTGTCCTCACAAATGGGCAACCCTAAAGGAATGCTCCTAGTGCCAAGGCCACTGCCATGGAGACAAGACTGCCAGCAGGACCAGGAGTACCCTGTGCAGCCCAAGAAGCCTGGACAGGAGAGGCTGGCATGGGTGCCAGAACAGATCCTCAGAGGCAGCTGTGGCTTCATCACCACCCCAGGCTGTAGCTCTTCCAAGGCCCCTGTCCCCTTGCCCAGGCTCAGAGGCCCCAGGAACCAAGTGGCCAGCGGCCAGCGGCCAGCAGGCAGGCATGGGGCCTATGCCCTGCGGGCTGTACCCGCAAGGCCTCTGGAGCAGGAGCAGCTTGGCCTAGGGGCTCAGCACCAGTGTGGACCTGGCTGTCGTCAGGGTGAGGATGAATGTCCCAGGCACAGAGCACGAGAGAAATGAGGCCCTAGGACACTTGACTGCCGGCTGAGGAGCCACACAGAGAGCTGGCCGGGTGGTCTGTGGCATGGAGTGCTGCGAGTGAGGGGAAGGCCAGGGTCGGGGCTGTCGCCTCTCCCACAGGCCAGCAGCAGCCACCTGTCTCCAGCCAGGCTTCCCTAAGGTTGAAGGCCTCGGTCGCAGCCTGCTGGAGTGGCCTTGCCAACTGGATGCAGCCAAAACTACAGGCCCCCACAGCCCTAGTCCCGGGGGGCTATGTTGCCCAGGGCTTGGGGAGACAGGGCAGTGAAAGGGGAGCAGCAGCTGGGGTCAGGCACCCCCTCCTGCCAGCTGAGTGGTCTGTGGAGCCACTGGGCAATCAGGCTAGCACCAGCCAGTCCAGACACGTAGGAGACAGTTCCGTCAGCTCTGTCCTGGGTTGGACCAGTGGTGGGCACTACAGGGTCCTGGGCAGAGTCAGTGCCAGTCAGCCAGAGAGAGCTTCCGAATGTGCACATCTGAGACTTGGCCAGCAGGAGCCTGGGGCTCCAGCTGAGTCTCCCACAAGGAGGGCGCGAAGCCAGGCACTGTCTGTCACCTGTCAGCTGTCAGCTGCTGCCGCCCAGAGTGTGTGTCAGCAGCAAGCTGGGATGAGGTGTCCCAGGGAGCATCTGAGCTGCTGCCCTGGACACCCAGTGCCCAGTGCCCTGCACCTCAGTGCCCGCACTAACAGGAGTGGGAGCGTCCCTGGCTGGGATGGAGTCCCTGCCCCCCAACCCCAGTCAGGAGTCCCCAGTACAAAACTCTCTGGTCTAGGTTAAAAATTTTTATTTGACCTTAAAAATCCCACACTCTAGGAGCACGGTGTGGAAGTACAGAAAGCAAAGGCTGCCATCCACTTGCGAGGGCTCCCGGGCCACCTCTGCAGCCACTGGTGACCCTTGGGGTGGGACCCACGCAGACCGGTAAGCCCCATGGCAGTGAACCCGGCCTGTACCAGCCGCAGTAGCCAGCAGGCAGGTTATGGTCCTCATTCTGCGAGGCGCCGGTCCCCGCGCCGGTCCCCACGCCGGCCAGGGTTGTCACGCCATACGCAGTAGTTGAGTGTAGTGGCAAAGGCCAGCCAGGCCACATAAGGGTACAGCAGCCGGGCAGCTGGTGGGCTTACACGGTGCCAGGCCACAGCCGTGGCTGTCGCTGCCCCGCTGAGCAGCAGGAGGTCCACCAGGGCCTGCAGGGAGGGGAGAGGGAAATGGGCCTACACTTCCCAACCACCAAGGCCCCATCTCCAGGTGACCTGGTCCTACCCTTCCAAGCCCCAACCTCTATCTCCCCAACTGTATGGGGGTACAGGCGTCCTTGTTGAGCTTCCAGCCACAAGGTGCCCACCCCACCCTGAGACCCAACCCTGGCTGGAAGGTGAAGTCCCACCCCCCAATCCCATGAACTGCAGTGAGCAGGGGCACCAGCCAAGGCCACACTCACCCAACCCATCTGTCGGGCCCCAAAGAAGATGGGGGGCCACGCCCAGTTCAGGGCCAGCTGCCCAGCATAGAGACCTAGAGGGACTACCGCCTCTTCCGTGAAGCCCCCCAGCTCTCTCCATACCAGGTAGGAACCGTATCTGAAACAGAGACTGCCAGTCAGGGCACCAGGGGACTGGGAGAAGCCAGGAAGTTCACCTGCGCGCCATGCCACTACTGCCACGTGACCGAGAGGAAGTGGAGGGTACGACACACAGGACCCCGGCGCCAACTGTTAGAATTACCACAGGTGCCATGGTGGGAGGAGTGGGATCAGCAGAGGCTGAGGGGCAGGTGCCAGACCCCAAAATCTGCACGAGGCCCAGGGGCCCTGAGGGGGGTGGGTGGTGGCCCAGTCACATGGCCGTTAGCACCAGGGCATGGAGATGTGCCAGAGGGAACCTGTGAGGAAGGAGGCTGGGCTCAGGTGTCGGAGGGAAGGGTGGAGGACACACAGGAGCGGGAGCTGAATGGGAGGGTGAGAATGACCTGACGGGCAGGGTCTGGCCTGTGGTGGCCAGGTTCACGTTGCCCCGGGACCTCAGACACCTGACCTGGCCTCTGTTATGGGGGCCCAGGGGCCCAAGGGCACAGTTCCCATGGCAACCACCAGGACACATCCTGCCCTGCCCGGCACTGTCTCTCCCTGCAATGCCGGGGCATTTTTGGGGTCTCACAGGAACCCTGAGGCCCAAGGGGCCCCAGCAGCGTCTGCGGGTTCTGGTTCTGTGTCCCTGGGCAGTGCCTTTGTCACATGGGGCATTGAGAGGATTAACCTAGATAGCTGGCCCAGAGCAGGTGAACAAAGGGCGCTCTTGTCCCAGCTGGGGGTGTCCTTTCCCTTGACCCTGGGGGGGCATGACCTCTGACTTCTGCACAGGGGCCACTGCCCTCCCCTGATGCCAGCCACTGAATCCCCAAAGGGACCCGCTGCCCACCCCATCCTTCTCCCCTACCACAGATCTCTGAGTAGCACCTACCCCATGGCCGAGTAGAGTGTGCCCCAGATGGGGGCCAGTGTCCAGCGAGGTGGGTGCCAGGAGGGCTTCTGCAGGGAGGCATGCCAGCGCAGACCCTCTCCACGGACGAAGTGGGAGGCCATGAAGCCACCCAAGCTGGGCACAAGCGTGAAGCCCACAGCGGGCACCCAGGGCGGCGCCATGGCTCTGCAGCAGCTGCTCTGGAAAGCTCTGGAAGGGGGATGGACAGCCACACGGGGTGAGGACACTCATGGAGAGGACGAGGGGCTGAGCTCCACCCCCAGCTGTGGGCTCAGCAAGCCGCCTTTCTGTCCAAACCCTTGCTGCCATATCCCAGTGCCCCCGATGGACCAGGAGCAAGGTGGCAGGTGTCTCCTGGTGGCTCCAGCCCAAACTTCCCCTTGACCTTGGGCCTCCTGGCAGTGAACTGTCCTGCCTGCTGCCTCGAGGAAGGGCAGCGGGAGCTCCATGGTGGCAGTGTCACTCTGCATCATGCGTAGCAGGTACATCTTAGCAGCGCCCACATGTCACTCATCCTTCGGACAGCTGGGCTCATTCTAGTCCCAATTCTCTGCCCATTTCGGGAACCTCAGGCAGATCACACCACTTGCCCGGGCCTCAGTCTGCCCCATGCAGAATGGGAGTGGCACCACCAGTCACCTGAAGCCCAGCCCAGAGAGTCTGTCCACAGGCAGCTCACCAGCACCTCCCAGGACCCTCCTTCCCTATGTACCAGAGAAGGAATGCCACCTGCCTGAGGAAGCCAGTACTCTGGGCCGGGCCCCACCCCAGCCACAAAGCTGCTCCGGGCACCTAGAACCTTTGAGGTGACCAGATTCCAAGGCTGGGCTTGGGAAAGACAAACTTGATGCTGTTCAGCCTGGGGCTGGAGCCAGGCCCCCCTGGTGGGGCACAGGGACCCCCACCACTGGCTCCCTCTGTTATGCTGGGCAGCCAAACCCCTGGCCTGGCAGTCCCACAGCCATGCCGTGCCAAGCTCACCCATGCCAAGAATCTACTAAACACCAGTGTGGTGCAAGGCTCCCCGCGGCTGCAGGGTCACAGAGCCGGGGGCACTGGGCCAGCTCTGCCCACACGTGCTGAAGGATCCCTGGGCCTTAGATCCCATATCAGCACAAAGCCACATGTGTTCTGGTCTGCAGGGCCGGAGTGGGGGGAAGCTGTGAGGGAGCCCTGACTTTGGAGCAAGGGCTTGGAAGGAGAGGGGGTGGGAAGGATGCAGGGCACCAGTGGGATCGGCAGTCCCCACAGGGAAGGTGGCAGGAGTCGTCCTCGGTGCTTCTAGGCCAAGGCCACTGGCCTAAGGACACAAGAGCCAACCTAGCTGCCTCAGCGGGACCAGGGACGAGTGAGACGTCCCCCATGTGGAAGCTTGAGACGGGCACTCTGCCCAAGCATGGTGTAGGAGACGGGTTAGCAGAAACTGAAGGACACAAGAGGCATTGTGAAATGTAACCAGTGCACCAAGACAGGACAAAGCCAGCCTGTCCCTGCCAACAGCCACAGCCCAGCGGGCAACAAGGCTCAAACCCAGAGCCAGCCCTACCCACCAAGGAAGACCCAAAGCCCCATGCAGACAGCACCTGCCCAGAGCCCAGCTCAGTGACCTCAGGCAAGCCAGGCCACCCCACCCCCGCTCACTCCTGCCTCACTTGTCTAATCGTGTGTAAAGGGCACCACCACCGCCGAGTGCCAGCGCCTAGGCTAGGGGCAGCCCCTGGGCCATGACCTGCCGGGCCAGAGAGGGAATCAGAGCGAGGGGAAGGGCTGGGGATTGCACGCTGAGCGCCAGGCCCCCGCACCTGTGCCCACTTCACCCTACTCCTGGGCCCCGTCTCGTTCTTACAAGTGACCACAGCTCATGCTACCGTGTGGCTCACAAAATCCTGGGGTTTTCTTGTCCAGGGCAAGCAGAGGCAAAGCCGTGAGGGGCCTCGAAGGAATACTGTCCACAGCCGCTGCCCAGGCCCAGCACCCTTCAATGTCAAGATTGCCAAAGGCACGGAAAGATGCCACAAGATGTCAGCAACTGGGGCAGGGAGGGGGAATGAGGGGCAGAGATGGGGCAACCCGGGGCAGGTGGGTGTAACTTGGGGAGCTGCTGTGTGCCCCAAGGGGAACCTCCCACTGCCGGTAACTGCTCCCAGCGGAAGCTGCTGGGGAAACAGGAAGTCCCTGTACTGCTTTTTAACTTCTCCAAGCAAAATACAGGTTCAAAATGTTTAAAAAAAAAAAAAAGTGTCCAGGGCCGTTGCTCAGGACACTGGGTTCTCCACCACAGCACCTGGAGACAGTCCCCTGCCCTTCCAAGGGCTCAGTGACCCACATCGGGCAGCGGGGACCTAGCTGGAGCCCCCCTGCTGCTTCAGCCTGGCTCAGTCCTGGCTGCCGCGGAGCTCTGGGGAGTGAAGCAATTGGTCAAGATCTCCATTTATGTATAGTTCAGCCTTTTAAATAAATCTTTCTTGTTAAAAAAATTTATTTTTATTTGAAAGTCAGTTATACAGAGAAGAGGAGAGACAGAAAAGAAGATGTTCTGTCCGTTGATTCACTCCCCAAGAAAGTGCAATGGTCAGTGCTGAGCCAATCTGAAGCCAGGAGCCTGGAGCCTCTTCCGGGTCTCCCATGCGGGTGCAGGGTCTCAAGGCTCTGGGCCGTCCTCAACTGCTTTCCCAGTCCACAAGCAGGGAGCTGGATGGGAAGTGGAGCTGCTGGGATTAGAACTGGCGTCCATATGGAATCCTGGTGCGTTCCAGGCAAGAACTTTAGTCACTAGGCCACTGCGCCGAGCTCAAATCTTTCTTTTAAGTGCACAATTCAGGAACAGTATTTAGGCACCATCTTTGACACCAGTGTCCCATAGGGCTGCCTGTCAGTGTCCCAGCTGCTCCACTCCCGATCCAGCACCCTGCTGATGCACCTAACAAAGCAGTGGGAAGTGCCCAAGTGTGTGGGTCCCTGCACCCACCTGGGGGGCCTGGATGAAACTCCTGGCCCCAGCGGAGCCCAACTGGGCCATAACAGCCACATGGGAATGAACCAAAAGACAGAAGATATCTCTTTCTCTCTCTCTTTTTCTCTCTGTCTCTCCTTCCTTTTGGCTTTCAAAAATCTACTTTCAAAGAAAGAATTTCTGGGCCTGGCGCCGTAGCCTAGCAGCTAAAGTCCTCGTCTTAAACTCGCCAGGATCCCATGTAGGAACAGGTTCTAATCCCGGCAGCTCCACTTCCCATCCAGCTCCCTGCTTGTGGCCTGGGAAAGCAGTCGAGGACGGCCCAAAGCCTTGGGACCCTGCACCCATGTGGGAGACCAGGAAGAAGTTCCTGGCTCCTGGCTTGGGATCGGCTCAGCTCTGGCCGTTGCGGTCACTTGGGGGGTGAATCATCGGATGGAAGATCTTCCTCTCTGTCTCTACTCCTCTATGTGTATCTGACTTTCCAATAAAAATAAATAAATCTTTAAAAAAAAGAATTTATTTTCTCAAAGTGCACAGTCCAGGGGCACTGGGGACTTCTACGTCGAGGTGGAGCACAATCCTTGCTGGTACCCGCCAGCAGTCACCCCTGCGCCCCTGCCCTTCCCTGCCCCCAGCTCCTCCAGCCCCCACTGCTTCCTCTCATACTAACGGGGGGCTCAGTCGGCAATGCCACATTGACCATCATGGTTTGCATTCGCTTGCTGGACGGGCTGCGAACACAGGCACCAATGCTGTTGGCATGGGCAGCCCTGGAGCTCACCATCCAGGTCTCAGGCTGCACACAGAGGCCGTGGGGGTGGAGACCCAGCCAGGGCTGCAGGGGAGCTGGGTACTAAACTAGGCCCCACCTGGACCTGCTACCCCAAAGGCCAAAAAAAGGCAGCTCCATCTCCAACCCCCTGGGCCCTGGGTGGGGCGCTTCCTGGAACCTCTTAGGATAGCACTGAATCACCCGATCTGGAGGGGTGGCACCCACAGAGCTGAATCACCCCATCTGCTCTGGCATGGCACCCCAGGGAGAGCCCAGTCACCTTCCTCCCTGGATTCCATGCCCTGCAGAGGTGGGCAGGAGTCCAAAGCTGACCTCTGCCTGGACCTCCAGGTCCTGCCCAGCCCTGGACAGTCAGGTGGTGAAACCTGCACTGCACACACGGAGCAGGGGGCTGGGAGGCTCAAGGAGGAGGGGCAGGACAACAGAGCTCCAGGGGGACCTCCCTGCCCTGTTCCACCTAGGGCAGTAGCCACCACAGGCCCAAGCCCTGAGGACCCCTGGACCCTGGGAGAGCCATACTGAGTCAGCACTGAAAGAGTGGGGAGGCGTCAGGAAGTGGAGGCACGGGGGCAGGAAGAGGCTCTGGCCTCACTCTCCCTGGCAGCCTGCAGTCCTTGGGGAGGGAGCAGGGCCAAGCATAGGCTGCAACAGCGGCCATTGCCATAGCTGTCCTGCAGGGCAGCCACCCAGCAGAAGCCAGCAACTGCCCCAGGCCTCTGAGAGGGGCTCAATATCTGCCCCCTTTTAAACAGGTTCTCGAGCCACAGAATGCCAAAGGCTCCAGGCCACATGGCCACTCCACGGCAGCAGTGTCACTTCCCCAGAGAGATGCTGGGCTGATGGCAGGGCCAAGCCCCAGGGTGCCCCCACCCACCCTGTCCAGAGCCAGAAGCTTCAGGACTCTTATTGCAGTGGCCTCGGGTGAGCCCTGCTCCTCCCCAGGGGGGCATCCAGATGCTCCCCTCCCAAGAGATTTTGACCTCTCTGTGAAGCAGGCTGCCCTGGGGTCCGGGGGAGGGGTGCTTCCTGAGCAAAGGAAGGTAGAACTGACAGAAAAGGAGGGTCTAACTGTGCCCCTTGCCGGACCCAGCCCAGCCCCTCCAGGGGCCTGCCTTGCCCTCACACCACTGTTCTGTCCCGGGGTGACCTGGAGGGATCACAGCCAGCAGAGTCTGCAGGCAGGGACAGGGGACATCTGGGGGTGCTTGGTGACTCCCTCCTTAAACAAGAGCAATCAAAACTCAGCAGAAGAAACGGACTCCAAGAGAAAGCAAAAAGCAGCCGCCTGCCCCGGGTGCAGCCCCTCCCGGAACCTGGGGCCACTGGCCACAATCCTGGGAGATCCAGAGCGTGGATGTGTGCACACCACAAGGCGTGGCACACACACGCACACACACACACACACACACACACACACACTCCACGTCGCACAGCACTCCAGGGAAGATTTCCCCTCCGGCGGCGCGACCCGGGGCACCGGGACACAGGTTTCCTTCTGTGCGCGCGCGCCTCGCCTCCCTCGTTCCATGAACCCCCTTGGGGCCTCCGGAGCGGCCTCCCTGCCTCCTAGCTCCGCCGGTGCACGCGGCCCCCGCTGCCCGGTCCGGGGTCCCCCTCCGCCCCCCACGCACACGGCGTCCCGCGCGCGCCGCCAAGGCTCCCAAGTCCCCGCAGCCGGAGCCCAGCCGCGCCCCAAGCGGCCTCGGTCCCCGACCCCGGTGCGGCGCCCACGGCGGTGGCGCTCGTGGGGAACCCCTCGCAGCTCGCTGTCCCCACTCACCAGCGGCCAAGAGTCGCTCGGGAGGGAAGGAGGGAGGAAAGGAGAGTGCGCGGCGGGCGGTGGTGGCTGCAGTCCAGTCCCGCCCGCCCCTCGGGGTCCCGCCCCCATCGGGCCTCGCCCAGCTAGGATCCGCCCTATTCCCCAACAGCTCTGCCTTCACTCTTGAAACTTCTACCCCATCCCTGACTGCTCCGCCCGGTCCCTGCCAGTCGCGCCCAGCCGGGCTCCTCCCCAACGAACCGGGCCTGGGGCAGACGCTCTGACGGTAACCCACCGTCTGCCCCAGCTGCCCCGGCTCCACAGGGTCCAGCAGAGCCCGGGAGAACCGGAGCTACCCCCGCCTCCCCTGGGGGTGCAACCAGGGCAGCGGGGCGGCTGTCATAGCTCTGGCTCTTCCCGTGTCCCCAGCGACTCTCGCCCTTGAGAAACTACCAAGTCCGTGTTCTGCTTTAGTGCGCCTGGGCGGGAGCCTACCCACTTTCCCTCCTGATTTGAGAAGCGATTGAGACATTGCTTCTTCCCTCTAAGGACCATGGCCCTAGGACAGTGCCCCTGCTGAACCCTTGCCCACCGCCCACTTCCTGCAGGGAGCTGCCAGGCTGCTCTGCTGGGTGGCACGCTGGCCAACCCGGAAGGCCCCTGGGAAGGAGGCGGTGGTTCTCCCCAGCTGCACTCCTGCAGAGCTGGGCACGGGGCTGTGGGGCTGTGGGCATCCTGTAGGCAGGGATTTGTGCCCCCCAGCACCTGCTGCTCGCGGGTAACTAAAGGAGGGGCTGGCAGTCAACGGCCCTCATGAAAGTCACAGAGCAGGCCTCTTAGGTCACAGGACACAAGGTGGGCATCTCCACCTGCTGTGCCTGGCTGTCTCCCCGGGACGTCTCTCTGTCACCTTGGGAACTGGACACCATCACAGCCCCTCCGCTCTAATACAGGATACAAGTCCCATTAAGAGACTGCGTCCAGACTAGGCTGCTGTCTCTCTCTATGCCGTCCCAGGCCTCTCCATGCTAACACTCATGTGGCTGCCTTTCCTCATTAGCCTTGGGATTGTTCCAGGCAGAAACACATCAAAAACCTAGTATGCACTTCACAGTGTGGTTAATTTATGTATATGAAAGGCAGAGAAAGACTTTCATCTGCTGGTTCACTTCCCAAATGCACACACAGCGAGGACTGACACGCTGAAGCCGGGAGCTCCAACCCAGCTCTCGTACATGGGTGGCAGGGACATGAACTCAGGCCAGCTTCCACTGCTTCCCCAGGCACGTCAGCAGGGAGCTGGGCAGAAGCAGGGCAGCTGGGACTTGATCCAGCCCTCCGATGTGGGGTGCTGGGCATCAGAAGCCACAGCTTAGGGTGCTGGGCCATGCCAGCCCCTTGGTGCTGCGCCCCATCACTAGGACTGGTGCATACACAGCTCCTCACCACCTCCCTGGGCATGCGCTGCTGCTCCCTGGCGACATGGCTGCCACAGTGTCACTGTCCCTCCACCCCCAAAACTCAGGTGGGATCCTGGAGAAGTGATTGGGCCGCAGGTGGTGCCATGAGAGTGGGTCTCCTAACAGCTGCCTTGGCCCTGTCCCTCATAGATGCCCATCTCACCACGGGGCACTCTGCATGGCTCAGACAGTGCAGAAGCTGGCAGATCCAGCCCCCTGCCCCGGAGCCCTCCAGTCCTCAGAGGCGTGCAGCTGACTCTGTTTCTTTAAGAAGTACCCAGAGGGGCAGGCACTCTGTCTCAACGGGCTAACTCTCTGCCTGCAGCGCTGACGTCCCATATGGGTGCCAGTTGGAGTCCTAGCTGCTCCACTTCCCCATCCAGAGACCCAGAGGAGGCTCTTGGCTCCCAGCGTCAGCCTGGCACAGCCCTGACATCCTGAGGACATTCCTGCATATTAGATTTTCTTCTGAGGTCAAACCCAGAAACGCAGTTTTGCTGTGGACTGAGTGCTGTGCCTCTCCTTGTCCCCCTATTCCAATGTTGAAGGCTCAACCCGGAGAGGGATGGTTTCCGGGGGCAGGCGTCTTGGAGGTGATCCCAGGCTGAAATCCTTGCTTTGGGAACAGTGGGGACGGATGTCAAGAACACGGGGAGGGGGCATGTTGTAGGCTTGGCCGTGGAGACTCGGCCCAGCGGTCCCCTCCCTCAGCCTGACACTCCACCCCCACCCCCGGCCCTGCATTAGCTCGCCGGAACCAACGACCCCGGAACCTTTCTTCCAGCTCCCCGGGTTGTCCCCGGGCGGGAAGCGCGTCCAGGACCGCGCCGCCGCAGTCGGGCCCCTGTCGCCAGGGAAACACGCGTGTCCGCCCGCAGCGTGCAGCATGAATGTAAGGGCGGCGCGGTTCGCCTGGGCCCGGGGCTGGGCAGCCGCTGGCCGGCCTGGCGCTCCGGTGCCCCCGCCGGCCCCCGTGGACGTGGCGACGCTGCTGCGAGAGGCGACGGTAGAGGAGCCGCGGGTGCGCCGGGCGCCGGGCCAGTGCTCGGTGCTGCTGTTCCCCGGGCAGGGCAGCCAGGTGGTGGGCATGGGCCGCGGGCTGTTGGGCTACCCGCGCGTCCGCGAGCTCTACGACGCCGCGCGCCGCGTGCTAGGCTACGACCTGCTGGAGCTGAGCCTGCACGGGCCGCAGGAGGACCTGGACCGCACCGTGCACTGCCAGCCCGCCGTCTTCGTGGCCTCGCTGGCCGCCGTGGAGAAGCTGCAACAGCAGCAGCCCGCGGTGAGGTGGGGGGAGGTCGGGGAGGCCACGGGCCTTCGCGACGTGGTCGGCACAGCTGCCCTGCAGGTGCCCGTGGATGGGGTGAGGGGTGGGGCAGCCCGGGCGGCACCCCCTAGAAGCAGGGCCCTCCGTGGGGGCCGCCCCGGCCACCTCGGCCTCACCTTCTGCACCTGTTGCCGCAGGTGATTGAGAAGTGCGTGGCTGCTGCGGGCTTCAGCGTGGGAGAGTTTGCAGCCCTGGTGTTTGCCGGAGCCATGGAGTTTACTGAAGGTACTCAAGAAGAGGTTGTAGTGTGTGTGTGTGTTGCTGGGATCCTCTGGGACAAGGGATACTGCGCCCCGTGAAAACAGAGGTGATGGGAAGGGAACTGGGATGGCCTGGGCCCTGGAGGATGCTCGGGGAGGTTCCTGTCCCTCTGTGAGTCCGTGTAGTTCGATTGCAGGACTGGCTCACACACAGACCCCTTGCATGGGTAACTACGAGCAAGGGACTTGAGTGGGCATTACTCCCTTTATTGTCATCTGAGTTTAAAGATAGGCCATGGGACAGGGAGAGGCAGCGTCCAGTGGCTCACATCCAGATGCCTGCAGCAGCCAGGACTGGACCAGGCTGAGGCCAGCAGCCAGGGACACTCCATCCAGGGGCCTTCTGGCCGGCATGCACCTGCTGCCTGCGAGAGTGTGCACTAGCAGGAAGCTGGAATCGGAAACGGGACTCAGAGCCAGCTGCTGTATGGGCAGTGCCCCAGGTCCCCCCGCAGGCCAGTGGCCTGCATCCCTCCTCCCCCCAGTAAACACGTCACCGAGGAGAAGATACAAATGGCCAGCAAGCATCTAGGCAGAGCAGAGCAGCGGTCAGAGAGCAGAACTTGGTGAGTGCCAGGAGGGCTTGGAGTAAGAACAGTAAGGACTGGTGAGGATGTGCCGGTGTGCTGCAGGCAGGAGGGCAGCATAACAGAGCCGCTGCCCGAGAGGGTGGCTGGTCCTCCCAGGGTTCCACAGACCGAGCGCGGGGCCAGTCAGTCCACTCTTCGGCGTGTACCTGAGAAGTTACAGCACGCGACCAAGCGGAAAACCCACGGCCAGGTGTTTCTGGCGCTGCCTTCATGGTAACCCACAGCAAAGCAGCGCGAATGTTCATCCTGGCACATGCATACAGTGGAGGTCGAAGGGGGCAAGCAGAGTGGCACAGTGCGTGAGGTGCCCTTGGTGCCCGGGCGTGAGTCCCAGCTGTGCGAATGCCAACTTCCTGGAAGGCAGCAGGGGGCGGCTCGGTCCTTGCATGGAGAGCTGGGCAGAGTCCCTGGCTGCTCACTGCAGCCTGGCTCCGCCCTGGCTGTCAGGATACTGAGGGAGAAGCAGGAGATGAAATCTGACAAACACATAAAAATGAATGTGAGTCTCCAGGCCACTCCTGCAGATTGAAGGCAGGGAAGGAAGTGTCCTGGGGAACTCCCTTGCTAGGAAAGTTCTGGAAGGCAGTTGGGGCATGGACAGAGCAGTGACTCCAGGGTGTAAGAGGATGGAGCTGGTCAGCCTGCGAAGACAAAGGTTTGCTAGGTGATAAATGTTCTGGGCCCTGTGTAGTAGTTCGATTGCCTGATCCTCCAGGCACCCGGCAGCCCCACTTCCCATCCAGCTCTCTGCTTGTGGCCTGGGAAAGCAGTAAAGGACGACCCAAAGCCTTGGGACCCTGCACCCGCGTGGGAGACCTGGAAGAAGCGCCTTACTTCTGGCTTCAGATCAGCTTAGCTCTGGCCCTTGTGAACATTTGGGCAATGAATCAGCGGATGGAAGATCTTTCTCTTCTTCTCTCCATAAATCTGCCTTTCTGGTGAAAATAAATGAATCCTAAAAAAAAAAAGAAAAAAGACAAAGCATTCTGAAGCCAGTGAGGCAGTGGCTGCTCATGTGCCAAGTGCTGCTGACTTGTCCCCCTGCAAATGGGGGCAATCACAGTGTCTCAGTTTTTAAACTAAAATGTGATTTTCATCTGAGTTATTAAGAAAACATATCACTGTATTAGGGCAGTAACAAGGAGAGAGTTCCATGTTTGCATATCCCAATAGAACTTTTAATACAAACTGATTTGTTTATTTGAAATACAGAGTTAGGGAGAGAGAAATCTTGCATTTTCTGGCTCACCCCCAAAATGGCCATGGCAGCCACAGCTGGGCCAGGCGAACATCACTGGGCTTCCCATGTGGGGAGCAGGTGCCCAAGAATTTGGGCTGTCCTCCACTGCTTTTCCAGGCCGTTAGCGAGGAGCTAATCAGAAGTGGAGCCTCTGGAATTCGAATGGCTCTTACGTGGGATGCCGGCATGGGATACATCAGCTCGACCCACTGTACCACACAGCCACCCCTCCATGTATGGTTCATGGTGACTTGCAGAGTTGGGGTTCAGCCTCTGCCCTTGACATTCGCGCAGTATCTGCGAGGGGAGGTTTCCATGTGCTCCCGCCACAGGTGCTGGGTGAGCCGGCTGCCCAGCAGTCTTGGGTACCAGGCTAAAGTGCAGTGTGCATATTCCAGTGCGTGCGGAGTGAAGTGAGTGAACCTTGTCCCTCTTGTCGCAGCACGCTCTGGGTTGGTGCCTGGTCCCGCCTTGGTCTGGGGTTTTCCTGCTGTCTGGTCCGTGCAGCCCTCTCTGGTGACTTTGCCCTAAGCCATGCTGGATCAGGGGCCCACATAGTCCGCCCCCCTTGGCAGCGTCAGGTTGGCCAGCTCCAAGTGTGGGAGAATCCCACTTAGCTCATGATGACCCCGGAGCTTACGGTTCCTGTGTTTCCTTTCCAGCCTGACAGCTCTGAAATAACAAACTGCACCTCCCAGGCAGATGGGTCATCGTTAGCCTCGTTTTTCTAAATGGAAACTGAGCCAGAGGCACTGGTGGCCTGGTCTGCTCCTCTTGGCCCTCACTGGGGGGCTCAGCGATTGGCTGTGGCCTGTGGCAGAGGCCGGGGGGCTCCGCAGCAGCAGCCCAGCCTCTCCTCTCGCGTATCAGGGGCCCCCCACTCCCATACTGCGCCAGGAGAGCTCCTGCCCGGCCTTGGGCCGCACACTGTAGCGTTGGTTGATGTGTGCCACAGAGCACCTGCCTTGGACGTGGCAGTGTCCCTGGCAGCAGTGGAGCCAAGTGGCCATGTCTGTGGTGCGGAGGGGCAACGTGCGTCATGCTTGAGACCTGCCCTTCCGCCTTGGTGCGTGTCCTCACTTCCCGGCATTCCTCTCGCACAGGTCTGTATGCGGTGAAGGTCCGGGCTGAGGCCATGCAGGAGGCATCAGACGCCGTGCCCAGTGGGATGCTGTCGGTCCTTGGGCAGCACCAGTCCAAGTTTGCCCTGGCCTGTGCGGACGCCCGGGAGCACTGCCAGTCCCTAGGCATCAAGGACCCCGTGTGCGAAGTGGCCAGCTACCTCTTCCCTGACTGCAGGGTGATCGCCGGGCACCTGGAGGTGGGTATGTCTGGGACCTGTCCCCAGACACCCTGGGGCCGGCGTTGCACCCCACTTCCTGGGGGCCCCCCAGTGCAGGGGTTACCGTGCTGAGCGGGGGTTTGAGTGCTGTAGAGGGAGGTGGGATGCGACGGACGGGCTCGGCCGGGAGCAATCAGTCCGACGGGAACAGGACCCCGGGAACGGTGGGCAAGGATTCGGCGAGTGACAAACAGACACGACAACTCAAGGAAGTTGCATCTGAGTGCATTTTGCAAAAGCAAGGCATCAGCTTATATACAATAGATTATTGCAAAAGAACATTTTTCTTTGTTTTTACATGTGGTTACATTTCCAGGGAGGTAAACAGGTGTGTTGAGTAAAGATTGTTCTCTAATAGTCCGGTGACAGACTGCATTTGCTATTTCTTGTGGACGCAGTTTGGCACCAGTTGTAGTTTTAATCATTAAGTAGTTAGCCCTCATTGTGTTTTGTGCCTTACACTGGTTTTAATATTAACTTGCCTATATTTCTTGTTTTTCTTCTTGTATGGCTTCTTAAGCTATAGTTTTCTACTATAATCTCTTTTCTAGAAATTCTCAAAATTAATCCTAAATAGATTCACTAAAACTTAACAACTTAATAGTTTTTATCTCAGACTGTTTGCTATTCTTATCCAATCTCCTGTCAGAAGGCTTCATAGATTTATAAAGAAACATCGAGCCTTTGCCGCACATAAATAGTATTATTCCAGTCATAAAGATAAAAGTAAAGAGAGTACAGTTAGAAGTGCCAAGACCACTAGAGATGCAGCCGATTCCGGGAGGCATCCTTCCTTGAAGCTTACGCCTCGGTCCGGCGATTTCTCAAGCCGGCTTCTACCGGAGGTGGCGTGACAGTGGGAGGCCAGAAGCTGTCCACCTATACCATGCACAATAGGCGGTCCTGAGCACACTGCCTGGCTTGTGTCCACCAGGGCATCCTGAGCACACTGCCCGGCCTATGCCTGCTGAGCCAGGGGGCCCTGGGCACATTGCCCAGCCCGTGTCCGCTGAGCCAGGGGGCCCTAGGTACATTGCCCGGCCCGTGTCCGCTGAGCCAGGGGGCCCTGGGCACACCACCCAGCCTGTGTCCACTGAGCCTGGCACCTTGCTACCTGCTTGCGGCTGTCCACCTGACTGCTTCCCAGAGAACAGAGCTGTTTGCTGTTTCTGCTTTAATATGTGTGTGTATTTGAGAGGCAGAGTGACAGACCTTCCATCCAGTGGCTCACTTCCTAGCTGCCTACAACAGCCAGGGCTGGGTGAGGTCGAAGCCAGGAGTCAGGAGCGCCATATGGGTCTCGCACATGAGTGTCAGGCCCAGGCATTTGGGCCATCTTCTGGAACCTAACCAGGTGTATGTGCAGGCAGCTGGATCAGAAGCCGAGCACCTCTAACCGATGCTCCAGTTGAAAGTGGCCGCTGACCCTACAGTGCCACGGCGCCCACCCCCACAGAGCTGCCTTCTGTGGGATGCCTCTGCCCCGCGTTTTTGGGGCGCATGTATCCTCCTGTCCATTCACTGCTTCTGCTAACGTTGATCAGGCAGCTCCTAGCTGACCTGCACGGGGTCCCAGTTCCCAGGCCAGCTGGGTAAGACCAGCCTGGAATGCTGACCACAGGCCAAGGAACAAGGCAGGGCTGGGCCGAGTGTTCTTGGCCTTGGCAGGTGAGTGGGAGAGGCGGAGACATGATGGGAAGGATAGCTGGAAGCCAAGGGCCTGCTGAGTGAGCGAGTGTAAACTGGAATTCTTGTGAGAACAAGGCCGGGCTGGGCAGTGTGGCAGGTCCAGATCCGGGCAGTGTGACAGGACTACCCCAGGCAGTGTGGCAGGTCCATTCCTGGGTAATGTGGCAGGTCCGGCCCAGGCAGTGTGGCAGGGCCAGCCCAGGCAGGGTAGCAGGGCCAGCCCAGGCATTATGGCAGGGCCACCCCAGGCAGTGTGGCAGGTCCATTCCTGGGTAGTGTGGCAGGTCTGGCCCAGGCAGTGTGGCAGGGCCAGCCCTAGGCAGTGTGGAAAGTCCATTCCTGGGCAGTGTGGCACATCCGGCCCAGGCAGTGTGGCAGGGCCGGCCCCATGCTGCTCAGCTTGCAGGCAGTCAGGGATGCGGCCCGCAGAGCCGTATTATTCCCTTGGGCCCTGGTGAGGCTGGGCCTGAGCTGTGTCCTGGGCCCACATGACCCGTTTTGAGATGCCTGTTGACAAAATAGGCTGTCACCATGGCCGGGTCTGTGTCTGGGAGAGGTGCCCTGCCAAGCAAGGCCTTGGGCCTGTGGGTGCTGACCTGGCCTCGGCCCTGCCTCCTGCTGACTTATGGTTGCAGAGCAGCAGGAACAGTGGGGAGCGGCAGGATGTGGCAGGATCATGCTGCCACTGTCCTGGTCCCTTCACGTGGTCCCTGCATGGCCTTGCTGGCACCTGTGTGAAGCCGTGGTTGTGGTGCTTACCTCAGCCATGAGAGAGGTATGAAGGCACCGACAGCGTGGGACAGCTGAGCAGAGAGACCCTGGGGCTCGCTCTGGCCAGGGTGTCACATTAGTGTTGGGATCCCCAAAGAAGGGGCCCCCAGGCCTACATTCCAGCTTGGTGCAGGTATGGGGAGGTGGCTGTTGTGTCCCCCAGCCGGGCACTGGTCCATGTGCCACTCGCCCATGGCATGGCTCACATGTTCATCCCTGCCCTCCCTCCCGCAGGCACTGCGGTTTCTACAGAGGAACTCCTCCAAGTACCACTTCCGCCGCACCAAGATGCTGCCTGTGAGCGGTGCCTTCCACACGCGCCTCATGGCGCTGGCGCTGGAGCCACTGGAGCAGGTCCTCAAGGCCATCGACCTCAAGACGCCACTGGTATCTGTGCACGCCAACGTGAGTGGGCACCGGTACGCAAACCCCGAGCACATCCGGAAGTTGCTGCTGCAGCAGTTGGTCTCCCCGGTGAAGTGGGAGCAGACGATGCACACCATCTACGAGCGGAAGAAGGGTGTCGAGTTCCCCAGAACCTTCGAGGTGGGCCCTGGGAAGCAGCTGGGAGCCATCCTGAGGAGCTGCAACCTGCAGGCCTGGCGCTCCTACAGCCATGTGGATGTGCTGCAGGCCAGCGAGGACCCGGGCCCTGAGCCCGTGGAGACCTCGCAGTGACCACCAGCGGCTCAGGTGGATGTGCTGCAGGCCGGCGAGGACCCAGGCCCTGAGCCCGGGGAGACCCCGCAGTGACCACCAGCGGCTCAGGTGGATGTGCTGCAGGCCGGTGAGGACCTGAGCCCATGGAGACCCCGCAATGACCGCCATGGCTCCAGGGGCTGACCCAGCTGTCTGCCTTCCGATGGCAGTGACGTCAGAATGTGCTCAGCGCCTTGAAGCACAGATGCAAGCACGACACAGCCAGTCCCTCTCCCTGGGGGAAACAACAGCCGTGTTGCTTGTGGGGGAACCTGGTAAGCCCAGGCAGACCCCAACTCCTGGGGGCCCACCAGTACAGCCTCAAGCCCAGCCAGTGCCTGGGCCAGGGTCTTGCTCCTTGGCCCTGAATTCCGAAGGCGTTTGACCTTTCAGTGTGTCTCAGTGGCTGCGAGAACATGAGGCCTGCAGTCATTTCTGGAGCCTGGAGTTGGGAGTTCCAGGGAGCCGCTGGCTTTGGCCCTGGTATTTGGGGGGAGAAATGCCAGCAGGCCCGTGGTCACGTGGTGCTCACACAGTCGGCTGTGCAGGCCCTCAGCAGGCTTCTGCCCCTCGCTCTCCTGGGGAGCCGGGCAGCCAGGCTGCAGCTCCCCGCAGGGCCATGAGCTGGGTGCAGCAGAGGCCAGGTGGGGGGCGTGGAGCTCACAAACTGGGAGGAAGACCTCCACATGGTCCTTCAGTGTGTGGCTGTGATTTTCACCATGGCCTGGGGCAGTGTTCCCTGGAGAGCTGCCCTTGAACCTCACTGCCAAGGAGCTTTATCATTTTCTAAACAAGATTTGTTTATTGAAAGCAGAATTAAAGAGGAGGAAGATCTTTCATTTGCTGACTCACTCTCCCAGTGACTGCAGGGGCCAGGGTTGGGCCAGGCTGCACCCTCTACTGCTCTCCCAAGTATATTAGCAGGGAGCTGGATTAGAAGCAGAGCAGCCGGGACTCAAACCTGTACCCATATGGGGTCCCAGGCAGTGGCTTGTCCCTGTACGTCATCATTTTTAAGTCTTGGCAGCATGGGAGACACAAGGCCTTAGGCCCTGGCCACCCTGTGCAGGTGCAGGGCAGCTTCGTCCATGACAGTGCTACTGGGCAGTCAGGGCCCTGGCTTACCATCCTCTGGCCCTCTCGTGGTCGTGGTAGCAGCACAGCCCTTGTGGTCTACACCACAGAAACAGGGAGGAAGCTGGCAGAGGCCTCTCGGGCTGCCTGCGGGAAGCATCTGGTCTCTGCTTGCAGTGCGTCCCCCAGAGGTGGGCAGCAGGGTCACACTCCACTGTGCAGTGTGTCCCCTAGAGGTGGGCAGCAGGGTCACACTCCCACTGTGGCAGCCCTGCCCAGGTCTGTAGACTCGAAGCATCAGCACAAAGGGGTCTTCTCAGCAGCCCAGTGTCCCAGGCAGGGCCCAGGCTTGGGCCTCCGGGTGGGGTCTTGGCGGAGAGAGCTGAGGACGCCCTGGGTCCCAGCACACAGAAACACTCCCGCCACGCCTGTGGAGAACCCAGCGGTCCACGCCTGCCCGGGCCCTTCCTGCTAAAACTGTCCTGCCTGACAGAAATGGGCAGGGGCTGTGTGCAGAGAGCTTTGAAGCAGAAAGGACGGCACAGCCTTGCTCGGCCTTGGCTGGGGTAAACCCAGTGCTGTGGGAGCAAGAGGCCTTCTGGGCAGGTGGGCACGAGGCAGGGCCCCGGGTGGCCACTAAGTGACCGTCTCTCCTCTCCCCATGCTTGGGAGGGCAGCACAGGCTGGGGAGTCGAGGCTAGCGCTGCTGGTGATTGGCTGCCAGCCAGCCTCATCTGTGATCGGTGTCTCAGTCGAGCCCCTCGGCTCTCGGCCACATCCCACTTGCAGTCCAGAGGGACTAGGGTGAAGTCCGGTTTAGGAGACAGGAGCAGGCCCACAGCCCTGTGTGTACCCACACTGGGGGAGGCTCAGCCTGGACACCCTGGGGCCTTGCACACGCAGCTCCTTGCACACACAGCTCCTGCTGTGCTCTGTCAGCCCACAGGAAGTAATCCCCAACCATAGGTTCCAACCAGGGCAGAAAGGGGCAAAGTTGCTAATGACCATGCCAAAACCCAAGATGGCACCTGCAGGCCTCTTGTGTCAAGTAGGAGCAGGTCCCGGGCTGTCCCCCACTGGGCGCTGCCCACACCAATGCCACCAGCCCCAAGACAGCACCAAAGACCTGCTGGAAACCAACATTTTATTAAGCCCTCCCAGCCCCTTAGAGATCTAGTCCAGTAGATTCTCTGTCCCAAAAGGCACAGACGGGGGTGTGGCCAGCACTCCCCACCTCCCCCCGCCACAGACCGCTCCAGAGCAGGCCAGGGGTGCCAAGACAGTGGGTGGTTAGCCAGTAACGCGCCCAAAGTATAAGGAGTTAATTTTCTCTTAAAAAAACCGAACTAACAAAAAATGAGTAGGAAAGCTCAGCAGTGACCCAGCACTGTCTTGAGTTTAAATACAAAATCGGGTCATAAGGCAGCAGTTAGAAAGACAGCAAGGCAGCCAAGGGCCCCCGGGTGGCCCCCCGGTTGGCGTAGGGCAGGGGCCAGCCCTGCCCATCCAGGGGGCTCACTGCAAAAGCAGCAGCAGCCCCCCACCCAGCAGCAGCAGCAGGGGCATCGGCTCCAGGGACACCTGTGGACGAGAGGGGCAGGGGAGGTCCTGGCATCAGCCACACAGTGGGCATTGGGGGCACTGGGGGGTGGGGGAACGATGAGCGGGGCTATGGGAAGGGGTCCCAAGGGCATGGCAGAGAGGGGAAGATGGCCAGCTGGGGCCCCACTGTCCTGCCAGGAGCTGGGCCTCCCACAGGCTCGGCTCCACCCAGCCGGGCAAGGGGTGTGCACTGTGGTGAACCAGGGAGGTTCGTGAGCAGCTCCCAAGGACCCCAGCTCTTACCCAGAGGCTGGGAGCCCCACGGCGACTCCGGAACCTCAGGAGGCTGGCGAGACGGAGTGCCAGGCTTGCAGCCACACCCCTGACGCCCCTCCGGCTGTAGGTGAGGGCCAGGCTGTAAGACATGAGAGGGAGCCGCCTGACTACAGGAGACACAGCTTGGGTATCCCCACCACAGCCAGGTCTTCTCCCAGCCCCCAGGGTTCCAATGCCTTCCCACCTGTTGGTCATCACTACCCCCTGTGCCCTGTACCCTCTCCCCAAAGGGCTTCCTTCTTCACACAGCGTTTCCGTTAGTGACAGAACTGCCTGGGCTAGAGAAAGGTGGAGGGGAAGAGTCTGGGGGCTCCCTCCAGAGGCATGGCGGGGAGGGCAAGGGTTCAGGTCCAGCCCTGAGCTGGATTCTGGCCTCCCCTTGCCAGCCAGGCCCTCCTCACCCACCCTGGCTGGGCCATGGGCTCCTCACCTGTGCACGGCCATGCCGGGCAGCTGGGCCAGCCGGGGGCCCCGCACACGGACATCCATCTCATCCCCGATCCGGGCCAGCCTCAGGGCCACTCGGTTACTGTGGAGAAGGCAGGGATGGGCAGGGGTTGTCCCTGGCAGCCCCCACCTGGCCTGGGCCGCTCCCCTCTCGGATGCTGTAAGCCAGGAGCGCTTACACAGACCCCCTTCCCAGCCAGGGGCTCATGGGGCAGGATAGGTCCACGGGATAGGACCTGCGGTGCCCCCCATGTCCCTAGACCTGCTAGAATGACCCAGGCCAGATGTGGAAGGACCAGCAGGTATGTGGGGCTGGCAGGGGGCACCTCCGGCCTACCTCTGGCATTCTCCTCACTCTACAGTGCCCTTAAGACCCCCTCCACAGGCGGACCCTGAAGGACAGGCCCTGGACTCTGCCAGTGCCTGGGGTGTCCCGGGAGGAACCCAGCTGATGGGAATGGTAGATGAGGGGACTCAGCTCCGAGACCTGTCCCCCCTCTAGTGGGGGGCCTCCAAGACCTGTCCCCTGGTCCCCAAGCCACCACCGTGCTATCACTCCTAGGATGGAGCAGCTGAAATGCCCGAGCTGGGGCATCCTGTGTAAACCAAATCCTCGAGTGTCGTGGGTGTGTGGTACAAGCCCCCCCTTCCACACACCCCAAGTTCCACCCTGGTGACAGCTGCTCAGGAGGGCGGGGGGGGTTCCCAGGCACTAGGCCTCTGGGGACCGTGCGCTCAGGTGCACCTCCACCTCAGTCTTGGGGTGATGGGAATCACTGGCTGATGTCAGGGGTGGGGTGTGGTGCCCCATGTGCCACGGGCAGTCATTGGCCCAGGGCTGCGGTCCCTGATGCCAGAGCAGGAAGTGGGGAGCCAGCCAAGGATCTTGGGCCTTTGGTGCTGACACCTACCCAGTCTGGGACCTCAAAGACAGGAGCCCGAGGCCCCTGCAGAGGAAACCTGCAGAGTAGTGTAACCGGGGCAGGAACGGGGGCACGGAGGCTGGCACTTGCAAGACCAGCAACAGCCAAGCCCTGCCAGCCAGTGGGCAAGCCTGGGCTGGGTGCTGCAGGCTGGGTGCTGGGCTCAGGTGTAGCCCCTGGAGTGCCCAGGTCCAGGAAGGTCCCCTTCTGCCTCAGTGGTTTCTTGGGCCCCCTGCATGGCATTTTTGACTTTGTACCTAGATTCATCTCCCCGGGAGGCCGGCACCGGAGGGGAACCCCCTTCCAGCTCCCTGGACCATGCTGATTGCCAGAGCCACTATGGTGAGGGGTGTGGCCAAGCTGCTGGCCTTGGGGCGGGAGGCAGCCACCCCACCCCAACCACCAACCAGCAGAATACTGGCACCCACCTGTGCTCCAGGCACTCCATGAGGTCCAAGTCTACCATGCGATCCCCGTCCTGGTCCCCGTCCTGGTCCTCCGTGGCGCGGGTCAGGCCGGGAATTTCTGTCGACGACAGTTCTGGCACCTGTTCTTCCAGAGGGGCTTCCTGGAAGAGGTCCCTGGAGCCAGGTCTGACTTCAGACATCTCTGCGTGGGCTGGGGGGGAGACAAAGGCGACTGAGCCTGGGACCTCCACAACCAACCCCGTGGCTGGAAGGCCCTGGAAGCTGAGTTTGAACCATCCCCTGCCCCCCTGCGTCCCGAGACCTGGACTGTGACTCAGGCCTGCTCCCTCAAAGGCCATCTCCACAGAGGGGCCACTCCATGCTGGCCATTTGCAGGCAGCCAGGCCACAGACCCTACATGGAGCCGCACTGCCCAGGGCTGGCCAAAAAATGGCCACCCCATGCTGGCTCCGTGCCCCTGGGCAAGCCGCTCAACCTATCTGTGCTTGGCAGACAGCTCTGGAGTGAGGGACGGGGCAAGATGGGATAGGGCCTGCAGCTCTTGGGCAGCCGACAGGAGCCATCAGCTTCGTGGTCAAGCCCAGAGCACCTGCTGGCCAGAAACCCTGCTACTTGTTTCAAACAAGGATCGCCAATAAGGAAGCGAGGAAGAGCACAGCACACTCCCAGGGACCCACTGCTAGACCCCAGGCTCTCGTCCAAGCATGTCCAGCCCCGGCACGTCAGGAGCCAGCTCACAGCCTGTTCCCTCCCACTCCCAACTGCCCCTGCTGCCCCACTGTCCCTGCAGTCTTGTGAGTAAGAACTGCCTGCCCCCACTTCCCCAGGGATGGTCCTATAAGCCAATCATGACCCCTCCCGTCCCTCCTGTCCCCAGCATCCCTTGCAGCTGGGTGTGGCCAAGTCCCTCAGAAGTCTGGGCAGTGTTGTAGCTCAGTGTGTTAAGCTGCTGCTATAAACGCCAGCCTCCCCCTTTGGAGCAGTAGTGCTAGTTCCAGTCCCAGCTGCTTTGCTCTCCATCCAGCCACCAGCTCTGGCACCTGGACCCAGTGACCCTGCTCTAGCCCCGCCTCTTAGAGGGCCTACCACTTCTCCCATCACCACACTGGGACCAAGCGCCCAACTTGAGTACGCTCTGCCCACAGTGCAGCCTGGCGTGCTGGAATCCCAAAGCCTTCCCAAGCACAGCAGCTGCGGATCTGCCCCCTTAGTAAGCATTGCCATCACTGCGAGGGCTGCATGGGAGCCCCATTGCCATCACTACGAGGGCTGCATGGGAGCTTATGGCCAGAATCGCCACCCTCCCACTCTCCCTTCCCCTTCCCCGCACCGTGCAGGCCAAGCACAGTGGTGCCAACACCAAGACACTGGAATCTATTCCCAGCTCGGGACCACAGAATCCAAGCTGCCAAGACCCCCAGACACCGCACCTACAGCTTACATAGTGTTGGAGTGATTGTGTGCGTGAAGCAAAGCTGGGACAATCTGACGTTTGGGGTTATCCTGGCACTCCAGGTTTCAGAGTTTGGAGCTTTTGGGAATCAAGCTGCACTGCCTGTGCTTTTCCTCATTACCTCCCCACAGTACACATTTATGCCACAGCCGCCTGCACCTGGCAACCTCCACGGCCTCCTCCTGGAAGTCTGCCTGCAAGGGGTCGCTGTTCACCGTGGAGCAAAGGAGGGGAGCCAGGCCTGGAGAGCCCCTGCCCTGGGGAGCCCCTGAGGCGGGCACAGAATGCTGTACTCCTGTCTGGTGCAGACGCTCCTGGCTTACAGCATCCGAGAGGGGAGCGGCCCAGGCCAGGTGGGGGCTGCCAGGGACAACCCCTGGGTGTTGCACAGGTTACCCTTGGCCAGACCAGACATTGGCCTGATGTCAGCCAGGCCTGGACTGGGGACATGGGGAAGTGCACTTGCGTGACAGCCTTTGCAAGAGAAACCTCAGGACAGCTGCGTGGTTCCCCCTAGCCTGGAAGGCAAGGTAAAAGAAATGTCCAGAACTCCTTTTCCCGAAAGAGAGCTGGCTGGTGGTTGGGTTCCCAAGAGGGAACGCTGGTGGTCTGCTTAGCGGAGAGCAGGAGGGGCTGGGGGCGTCAGATGGTAAACAGCTGGCTGGCCACAAAGAACCCACACCTGCCAGGCACCACCTTCCCCGCAGGCACCAGAGCAGGGAGCAGCGGGGGGAGGGGGTCCCACCTGCAGGCCAACACTGTCAGAGGGAGGTCTGGGCCCGGGCACAGGCACCGGGCCGGGCAATGCCCCTAACCCATCAGGCTGGGGCACAGGGTGGGGGTGAGCAGTCCCAGAGACATCTACAAAAGCACCAGCACCTCTCCAGCTGCAGGCACCTTGGCCTCCATGTCCCGGGGAAGTGCCAGGTGGCAATCAGAGGCAAGGCAGATGGACAGCCACCCAGAACGCAACGGTGCAACACCTATCCAGGAGATGCAGGTAACAGACAGCCGCCTGGCACCCTCAGGCCCGAGGTGCACTGGGCAAGCGGGGCGACCTGGGGGCTACCCCACAGCAGAGTCTGGCTCGTCTGTCCCTGCCAGCTAGTAAGATGGACGCAGGGGAAGGGGTGGGGGTGCTGGTTTTCACACAGCAGGACAGCCCACGAAGGACCAGGTGTAATCAGGCCCTCACTGACACTGAAGGAAAAGGCTCTAGATTGCAGTGATGGGCCACGCACCCCTCGAGCTGGCTCAGCCGGGGAGCAGGCACAGACATGCACATGCACGGGAGACTTCAAAAGGTGCCCAGGTAGGAACTTTCTAAAACTGCATTGAGGTCAACATTGTAGTGTAGCACATTAGGCCACTACTTGCCATGCCAGCTTCCTATGCCAGAGCACAAGTTCGAGACCCGGCTACTCCACTTCAGATCTGGCTTCCCACTGAGGCACTGGGAAAGCAGCAGAGGATGGCCCAAGCGCTGAGGCCCCTGCGCCCACGGGGAGACCCACATGGAACTCCACATTCCTGGGTTCAGCCTGACCCAGCCCATTTGGGGAGTGAACTGACAGAGGAAAGACCCTACCTCGGTCACTGATACTCCACCTTTCAAAGAAAGATATCCTAAGATTTTAGTGCAAGAAGTTTTTCCAGATTCATGCCTCTGAGGAATCTTTAGAAAGTTTATGAAAATGCTATGTGTGGATCTCAGAAAAGCTTCTTGGGCAGCAAAACAAACTTATCTTCAATTCCGTTTTCCACGGACTCTGCAGTGAACACCTGAACTGAGGCAAAGAAAAAGCACACAAGGTTTCAGCACAAAAATTAAGCTAAGGGCCCCACATGGTAGCCCAGTAGCTAAAGTACCGCACCCACGTGGGAGAACTGGAAGGAGCTCCAGGTTCCTGGTTTCAGATCAGCTCAGGTCCAGCCACTGTGGCCACTTGGGGAGTGAATCATCGGATGGAAGCTCTTCCTCTTTGTCTTCTCCTTTCTGTATATCTGACTTTCCAACAAAGGTAAATAAATCTTTAAAAAATTAAGCTAAGAAAGGATGCATAAACTTTTTTTAAAGATTTATTTATTTTTATTACAAAATCCGATATACAGAGAAGAGGAGAGACAGAGAGGAAGATCTTCCGTCTGATGGTTCACTCCACAAGTGGCCACAATGACTGGACCTGAGCCGATCTGAAAACAGGAGCCAGGAGCTTCTTCCAGGTCTCCCACACGGGTGCAGGATCCCAAGGCTTTGGGCCGTCCTCGACTGCTTTCCCAGTCCACAAGCAGGGAGCTGGATGGGAAGTGGGGCCGCTGGAATTAGAACTGGCACCCATATGGGATCCCGGTGCATTCAAGGCATTAACATTTTTATATATATAAAAAAAATACAGGCTTGGTGCAGTAGCCTAGTGGCTAAAATCCTTGCCTTGCATGCACCAGGATCCCATATGGCGTTGGTTCTAATCCTGGCAGTCCCGCCTCCCATCCAACTCCCTGCTTGTGGCCTGGGAGAGCAGTAGAGGAAAGCCTAAAACCTTGGGACCCTGCACACCCCTGGGAGACCTGAAAGAAGCTGCTGGCCATGTGGGGAGTGAATCAACGGACGGACGTTAGATCTTCCTCTCTCTCTCCTCCTCTCTGTATAGCTGACTTTCCAATAAAAATAAACAAATCTTTAAAAATTGCATTGAAGGGCGTGAAAGTTCAAGGTGAGCAAAGGGACATTTTCAGGGACGCCGCGTGGCTGTGTGTGCAGCTGGCCCCAGCTCCAGGAGGAGGGACTGTGTCTTGCAAATGCTCATTTCCCTGGGAAAGCAGCTCCAGCCCTCATTTGCATTCCCCTGCCCCTGCACATGTCCCCAAGGTTGTGGGTACCTGGTGGGGTGGCCATGGTCGGGGGCGGGAGTCTGATCCAGGGTCTCCACATCCCCTTCCTGAACTGGGCCACACACAGAGTAGCAGCCTCTAGGAGCTGCCAGACTCATCTTTGGTCCGCAGAGCTGATCAGTGTTTGTTGAGTGAATAAGAGAAGGCAAGGCCTTGCCTGAGGCTGGACTTTGAGGTCATGGCAGCTGCAGTGCCAGAAAGCTGGTCTGGGTTTTCAGCATGATTTTTTTTTCCAGTAAATTTGCAAACAAGGAGTTGAAAATCTTCTGGCAGACCCTGCACCCATGCACATCGCCACCTGAGGGGCAGGCAGCCCACGCCACCCCTACCACACTTGGTGGAAAAACCACCCCCATTCCGACCACCAGGAGCCCCATTTTGCCCCCAGAGGTCAGGATGCAAATCAGGAGCAGGTGCCACACCCACGGCTCGAGGGCACCTGTGGGGCAGGAACACCACGTGGCCCCCAGCTCTCCACTTGGTTGCTGGCCCACGGCCCATTCTGGACATGTCATCTCCCTGCCACGTTCAGGGCAGAGTGAGAAGTCTGCCCAGGAGCACTTGGTGTGTGTCCAGCAGGGGCCCAGGCTGAGCCGGGAGTGGGAGGTGAGCCCCTGGTGGCACCCCTCAAATCTGCGTTACATTCAGTCTGTTGAAGCCAAGCTGGCAGGACTCTGTCCTGCAGCCCTGTTCACTGACAGGCAAGCCCAGAGTGGAAGCGGTCAGTTGGGGGTCCCAGGGGAGGCTCAGCGGGGTGGGCTCTGGTGAGAACCCTGGGCCTGGGCCTCCTCCTCGGAGCTTCCATGGCACCTCTCTGGTCACCTGGAGCGTGCCTGAGGGTGAGG